GGATACGAAACGATTTCCGCCAGTGGAAGCAAATTTATTTGTTTGACAGGTTGTGTGAAATACTGAAATGTTTTGCATGACAACTGAAGACTACGATATCTGACAAAACTGCCCCAGATTTATCCGTTAAGTCCGCTACTTAATATAGAAGTTCTCCTGCTATTTTCTCAAATTTTAAACCTATAGGAGTGCTTATGAGTAAACAGACACATAAAAATAAAACTACTCTTTTCCTACCAACTAGACTCAGTTACATTGTTACAACTGCAATTCCATTATCTGATCAACTTCGAAGATAATTTCATGTTAGAGTGTACGCCTGCCTTTGTATCACATACACACACTCTTTCCACACAGTCTTCATTAACTCTTTCATTCGTTTGCAAATGGCTTTAGGATTTGGATGTGACTTTGTGCATCTGGCAACTCATCTTTTAGGTCTAGCCCTGCAACTGTTATTTTACCCAGACAGACGATAAGCTAAATATGGTCCATTTCACCTGTAGCTTGTCCAATCACCAAATGGGAGCAAACGTAGACGAGCGTGCTAATGGAAAAATGGAGGCATCCATGTGGCCGATCACGTTCGCAGATTGGTGTGCACCAAGCTTGTGACCAATCGTAGCAGAGGGGATGTGATTTCGGCCATCCTTGTGAAACAGGCTGACGATCCGTTGCAGGGTTTTTGAAGATTTGAAATATTGCTCCCTTTAGAATATTTAATACCAAAGAATGTGAATCAATAAGGTATCTCGGAGAAAATATGGATTCTTGCAGACCAGTATTCCAAAGCATGACTAGTCTCATGCTCACAATTGAAAAGCTATTTCGATTTACAGTCGCGCAACGTGAGTTGGTCTCAAAAAAACAACACGTTTTGATAAAAAAAAAAAGCAGCAACATAGGCAATCTGCTTGATTGATTTAGCCCAGTAAGGGAAGATTTAAATTTTGTTTGAATTACAAATTGTAACTACTGTTCATTCAAAATGGAAAAGTTTATTGAAATATTTTAACTGGATTAAATTGTAGCGATCCATGTTTATTCACACTTCTTGATCCGGTCGCACCAACCTCCGACACAGGGTTCCCCTTGTCGCAGCATGTCGCCAGCCGCGCGGATCCTCAATTCCCCCCTCATTCACACGGGTATTTATCTTGGAGTGTCCTCACACCTAGGTCTCGATGTTAGCACATGTATGACTCACACACCCGAGGTATAAATACACTCGCGCAAACCCCACGCACGACGCAACGACACCAACATGGTTGAGCTCTGAAATAAACGCTTGTGTCCACGTCTTCTCCGGTCTTTTTCTTCATCGAGGGTATCAAGAAAACGTAATCGGGCCAGAGTTAATTCAGTGACCCCGGCGTGGTTCAAGACTAAGTGCTTGGGCCCACAACAAACTAACATTTAAACATCTATTTGGGTCTAGGACATTCACATATCAAGGATAAATAGGTTTACGGATCCTCATTGGTCATGTTATCATGACAATTTGCCCCACATTACTTTAGAAGCAATTCCGGATTCAAATTTGCCTCACAGGTAAAGCTCTCTCTAGTAGCAGTGGAGCTGTAGCTGTGAAACCAAAGCTTTTACTGAATCAGCGCATCTTAGACAATCTCTAAATGACTAAAATGCCTGAACGCAGAAAAATATAGTGATGTTGTTTAATGCAAAATTAGTGGAGAAAACACATGGCCAACCAGGTTCGCATAATTTTGTTAGAAGGATTTGTTTTGTGCATAAATTCCACAGATAACCTTTTTGATTCACATACCGAGGTCACCAAACAACGCTTTAGGGTCTCTTAGGCACTGCTGACTTACTTCAGAGTCTAAATTGTAGAATAAGGATGAATTAGTCGAAAACACCGACAAACTTGTTCTAAGGCCTTTTCATTATTCAAACTACAACCATAGAGCCCACCTAGCTACTAGTGTTGCCAACAAAGCTAGATACGAATATGATAAACAAGGAAGAAAGTACTACACTTTAGGCAGAATTTTCGGGCTCCAATAATTAGCCAACTTTTCTAAAGCGGCTCAACTAGACCACGTGCCGGGGTCGTTGTATTGACTTAGACTGATTATGTTGCGCTGAAGAGCATGGAGATCGGAGATGGTTGAGACATCCGATTACTAGATGGCTAAATCTAGTTGTGTTGAAAGCGCGTGCGTTCGAAGTAGTGCATGACTTAATGAAGTTGTTGACCAAAACTGTTTGGGCGGTCTAGTTAAAGTACAAATGACCGAATGGCCAGAGGAATGAAAGGAATAAAAAGAAGGATACATGCACATGGCTGACAGGCACACTGTGAAGACGGTGTGTTAGAGTTTGTGGCTTGTTTGCTCTACCTTACAACCCCGCTAGTCAATACTCCGTAATAACATGAGAACAGAGACAAGACATGTCACATCGGATGCGACCGTGCATTAGCGTCACGTCTGTTTGTGTCCCGATGAGTCAGCGTGAATAACGCACACAGCAACAAATGGAAATAAAGATGAGTCATTGGTGCCATTGCGTCTGTAAGTCTCTGGCTGTCCGCTACAGCTCTCTCGCCAGTGAAAGGAAATGGCGAACACTTTCTTCCAACGGAAATTCGGAAGAACAAACTAGGTTTTTGTGTAGTCAATATGCGACCATCGTTAAGGCTGAATGCAAGTACGGTGAAACGATGTGAATAATCGCCGTCAGAATGTAACTGAAACTCTTGGCACCATTGTACATTGTCAAACGACGTTTGAGATGATTTTTGTGTGTGACTGGAGCAGCTGCGAATCTCGATTTTTCTGTGAACACAATCTTGATGAATGATGACTGCTGCAGCAACAAAATTCCCCGTTACTGGCGTCCGCTTATTTCTGGGAGGCCTGATGGGCCTCGAAATTTAGTTTTCACACACAAAGAAAGTAAGTAAGCCGCCAAGACTAGCAACTTTGGATGATTCTCACACGGTTAAGGCAATCAGCATTCATACGGGTGGCGCTCTTAAGAAAGTTTATTAGTATTTCTCTCCGGCTAACTGCTTTCAACTTGGGCTATTTGATTTCCGCTTAATGTGCAATGCATGCGTACATGTTTATTGTTTTTTTATTCCTTTCCATGAAAAAATGGATTGTAGCGGAGTGAAGGTTCGTGTCGACCTCGCCGCCTCCTCTTTGCAGATCCTCTCTGTTCTCGGGCAATCTGAGTGTAAACGAATAAAGTGCTGGTTAAATGGCTTTGTTCATTGTTACACAACTCGCAAATTGAATGCGCATTTGTCGATGTAGCGGTTGCGGTTTGGATGTGTCCCTCTGTTGCCAAGAGTAATTTGACTCCCTAGAACACAACAAAATTGTTTTAAGGCCCCGATTGGGACTTGAACCTGCCAGTATCGGAAAGGCATTGGGCATTGGATTGTTCCATTTATCTCGCAAACAGCGGAGTTCTTAAGTACCTTTGGGATAGGGTATATTTGTCAAAGATTAAAAAGGTAACACTATTGCCTTCCACTATCTTTATACCGGCACTGCCTTACATAGCGGGGCTTGCTAATAGCAAAACAATGTAAAATTGGCGTTTAACACATCCAGATAAACGCCAAAATACATTGTTGAGTCCACGAAATAGATCTTAAACTAGATTAGATACTCATGAAGATAAAGAAGACCATGGATTTCGGAAAAAAACAGTTTAAATGATGAATCAGTCCCGTTGTTGCCTTGTACATGTCGTGAATCGTGTTTATTCGACCCCTTAATCCGGTTGCTCCACCACCTACACAGGGTTCCCCTTGTCGCAGCATGTCGCCAGCCGCGCGAATCCTCAACTCCCCCTTCATTAGTACGAATATTTATCCTAGAGTATTCCCACACCTAGGTCTTGATCTTAGCGCACGTATGACTCACACATCCGAGCTATAAATACACTCGCATAAATGCCACCCCCCGACACAACGACACCAACATGGTTGAGTTTTAAAGTAAACGGTTGTGTCTACGTCCTCTCCGGTCTTTTTCTTAATCGTGGGTATCAGGGAAGCGCAATCGGGCCAGAGTTAATTCCGTGACCACGGCGTGGTTCAGGACCGCATGCTGGGGCCCACAACATGCTTGTTGTGCCGCTGCGCTTTCAAAGTCACGTGTGGCTAATGGAGGTTATTGAGCCATTTAGTCTCGGTGAATTATTATAAGTACAAGTGACTGAGTGTGCAATTCAGTTAAGTGAGTAGCCGGTGTACACATAGCCCTGATTTATCGGACGTTTCCGCATAATGTGGGAACACTGAGAATAAATGCTGCGTGTCACAACATGCGACGACAGAGTTAACGGACGTAAATCAACATGGATCACTATGATATCCCGCTAGTAGTGACTGAGTACTGAGATTTTAGATTTAAGACTTTGCTCTCTGTCAATATTATTTTTATTTCCTTTTCAGTAAGGCGAAACTATTTGGACGTAACAGGTATGAGCGCTGAAGGAGGGAATCTCCTTTGACTGGGTAAAAGTTACCTAACGTAACCTCGCGAAAACGTTTAACCTTGAAACATGATCAGATGACTGAGTACACCAACAAACGATTTTAAAGTATCTCGCAAACATTTAGAATTTGTTTTGAAGAAATAACAAAAACGAATTCAACAGAAATCAGGCAAATGATAAAGCAAGCTACATAAATGTTATCACCTAAATTTGAATTTTCTATCCAATTCTGACAATTTTGAACCCAAGGGTTTTGGTTCAGGCTGACCCGAAGGCAGTGTCCGCCTACACGATTTTCTTTAAAAAAGCCATGGTTAAAATTTTTCACTCTAGTACTGAAATTGCTGTAAGATATTTAACGACATCCAAGGCAATAATAGAGAGCAAAATCGCGTTAAATGTATCGGAATCTTTTACGGTAAAAGCACCTATAATTCTTGCATCGACTTCCTTCATTATCTCCTATGAGCCCGGGTAATCATTAAAAATGACAGGATAGATTTTGTCTAAAGTTATATTAGATGAACCCAGTTGAATCTGGGTTCTCGTGGTTAGTCGTTAGGTCTCATTCTAATACCCCTCTTCCTGGAGAGAAAGGAGGATGAAAGGGGCGAGGTGAAGGGTAATTTGGCAAATGTAATGAGGTCATTTTAAGGTTTACGTTTATACCTCGTCTTAGCCCAATCCCTACCCTGAAGTGATAGGTAATCAGGCCATGCGAATTCATCAAGATTGTGCATGCGCTTGTGCAAAGGGCAGTCTTGGCCGTAGAGAAAAAAACCACACCAATTCCGTGGTTCTTACATTTTACATAGTGGCATTAATTGGCTTCCGATACACTGGTCCAGGTTCAGCGTTACTTCTTACAAAAACCTGATATTCTTGTACAACTCGTGACCCAACATTTTTAGGTTCAAGTTGTCGTAACTAATGGTCAACCTCTACATAAAAGGGAGCGCCAATGACTAATCACGGTACCAACTCCAGTTAGATCTGAAGAGCACCAGGGAAAAATTTAACGGAATGGCCCTCGACGGTGCCGAACACGGAGTGCAGCCAATTTTGTGTAACTAGGATGCTTTGAGTGGTTGGAAAGCTTGCTATTTTCCTTGGGCTTCGTTGTGGACTAAACACATCCAAAAAGAAAAAAAATTAAAGGTCATGGAACCAAAACCGTGAAAAGCCATCAATTCAGTCACTGTAAGACGCAAAACACTTAGTATGCATGGCGACAAAATACTCATTCTCATACCCAAAGTCTAAGCTAACCATTGGGCATCCTCTGTTTGGTAAAATTTCATTTTGCTTTTGACGCAATTAGATATTATATTAAAGGTGTGAAATGAACGGCATCATAGTGAATAATTCATGTTGCAATCCTGATTTGTGGCACACCGCCATAGCTTCAAATGGTCTTTTTTTGATGTATCATCCTCTGGTTTTGGTCGAAAATATTGTTTTCCTTAACGAACATCTACAGGAAACCAAAATCTCTTCGAAATTTTGGAGGAATATCCATGATTTTTTCCATTGATGCTTGCAAATTTGTGGGAAATCCGGTTTTCTAATTGACAGTTTGTTTGTAATCCATCCCTAGAGAAATGAACACGGTTTTTCACGAGGATTTAATCAAATTCAATTAAATTATTTTTGGATTTCAAACTCTCTTACAACATATTAAAGTGGTTCACGATATTCACCACTTAGTTTTCACGATGTCCAAGTGCAGTCGGAAATTCCGATTCTTGTCATTTTAACTAACGACGGAAAAATCTCGAATAGGTTATGCTCAAGTCGTTTCAATGTTCACATCTCTGCTGCACACTTGGATTTTGCAGTCCAATTTTTCGATGAGACGTCTTTGGTGTACTTTTTTGGTTTTTATGAAAAAAATGTCTCATCGCGTATTTTTTCCTTAATTTTTGGGATACATTATCACGGCTACGGTCACGCTATCTCTAAGGCACTTTTTTTCTATCTGTGCGTCGTGCGAACGCTAATTAGGGGTCTTTACCATTATTTTGACCTTAGTGGAGCTAGTCTTTTGGCCTCTCAGCGTGCATAATTCATTTCGCTATGGTGAATGGTTGAACATTTTTTTCCAAACTTTAAAGTTAAATGATTTGCTTAATCATAACTATTTCCATTATCTCAATAGAGAAATGGTCCTTTAGTAAAAGTAGAGCGCGTAATTACGACTTCTATCCTGAGATTTATGGACCTGACGCGTTTGCTAGGTTTTTCGGACAACAAGTGACCGTATATTTGCGTGTCTCAGGAACGTCCTCCAATACTCTTTTGTCTTTTACCACACCGGGGCCGCTGGAGAAACGAAGACCAGAGACGACCGAGACATGCGTTCACTAGATAGACGGTCTGAATAACTGGGATTGTTGACCGATATAGTCTGAGTGAACTTCCAAAAGTACAAATGGCTGAACGATCAGATGAATGAAACGGGCAGCATGGTGGGGGGAGGGGGAACGCGCACAAGAGTGCACATAAACGGACGGTTTAGCAAGGTCGATGGGAATGGCAAAGAATACGACAACCGGATTAGTGGGTGTGAATCACCACGAATTACTGTGATTCAAATCGTACGACTTAGGGAGTAAACTAGCTTGATCCATGTCACTACGTGAGGTATAAAAGGGATTAAATTGTGGCGACCAGCAAGCCAGCACAGTTAGCATTCGTGAGCGGACGCAGTTTGCAAGCGCGAGCGAACACAAATCAATCGATTTTTTTTCGTGAATGCACTGTGGTGGACGGACAGCCACCGCGTGTGAGTGCTCCGTGTATGCTGGCCCGACTGTATCACTGACTCACCCTCTTTGTTATTAATTTTTGTTAGCAGTCGTCTGGTACGCACGCGTATCGATACGCACACAGAAGTTAGTGCTCGATTTTACGCGACTCAACTTGTCTGGCGTGACGCGAATAAACGGTCGTGTTCCCTTTCGACCCTGTCTTCGCTATTCTCGGGTTGTGACCGGTTGTTATCCATAGGGCTTTGTTTTAGTGCTAAACCCGACCTCCACAAAATATTTGAAGAATCCGTTGAAGTCGTGTTCGGTAATGCCTGAAAAGACATTAGAGAAATATTTTAAATGCAACCCGCAAAGGTGTGCGGATAGCTTACAAGGTCATATTTTGTTGATCTCTTCATTGCCTTAAGGAATACAGTAAAAAAGACTAAGATTAATGTCACCTATTTTTAAACGTCGGAAGACATTTGGAAAAGCATATATCATTTCCAGGAAGGCCACATCGAATAATTGTGGGTGGATTTAGGCCAACGATTTAAACTTTCTTGAAACACCATACTTCGTGCAATATGGTCATCCCTTTGGTGAGTCTAGTGCGTGTTGCCGCAATTATCCTAGTTAGATTGCACTTGAGGATAACCGATTCGAGTATTTGTAGGTTATACTGCAAGCGATTTTGCTTCCTTTAAGCAAGTAAAAGGCAGGGAACAGGAAGCAATAACCAAATGGGGGAATGCTAGGATATGTTGGGGCACTGAATTTACATTTTGAGGATTGATTTGGCACGATTAGTGATTAGAATAATAAAATCACGAATTTTGGTGAGCTTACAACTAAAGGTAGCTTTAAAGTTTGTACACTCGGCTGTAAATGCGACTTGCGTTGTCCAAAGCTGAAGCGTTGGCACATGTGTGTGTGTGTGTGTGTGTGTGTGTGTACGTGTGCGCGTGGCAGCATCGACCGCCCGATCGCAGCAGCTTTCGCAGTGGGCGCGCAGCACGCAGACGCATTGATTCCGATCACCGGGCGCACCGACACCCCGCACCACAGGTATCCGACGAGCCAATGGGAGGCCGCGGACGCCGCAGCATTTATTGCCTGGTGGGGAAATCTCCTCGGACCAGGTCTATGGAGGTATAAAACCCTGCCCCTAGTCGTCCCCAGCAATCACACGGCTGGCAAGCTACGCACACACGGTCCCAAACACCCTTCGCGTGCGATTCGTTTCTTCGTCTTCGTTTCTGCGTTTCTGCTCTAATTGCTCCTTGTGAATTAGAGAATTACCCAAACAACCACTGTGAGTACTACGCTTAATGAACGGATACGAAAATTCTACAAGCAAATATATTGGATTTATATGCTGCCACATTTACGGCCACCATCATTGAGCACTTTTATGGGCCTTTTAGGAGTCTCCTGAATTAAACAACTGAAAAACCACCGAACACAATGGACCCATCAGATCCTGATTTCGAGTACCTCGGTGTCGACCGCAAGGCTCTCCTCAAGGAGGCTGAAGCCGGAAGTTTTGACTCCAAGTCTGTCGCCTGGGTTGAGGATGAAAAAGAGGGTTACGTTATGGCCGACATCGTCGAGACAAGCGGCGACACTGTCACCGTGAGGCTCAAGGACGGAACCGTACGTGCACCATTTCTTGGTTTTACTTCTTTCATTGTAACTGCTCCAATCACCTTAATATCTGGCTTTATTGCTTATGCAGACTAAGCAAATCAAGAAGGACGACATCCAACAGGTTAATCCTCCCAAGTTCACCATGACCGAAGATATGGCCGATTTGACATACCTTAACGATGCTTCTGTTCTGGAAAACCTTCGGGCTCGCTACTACCATAAGCTTATTTATGTGAGTTTTGGTGTCGGTGTCGCCCTTCCACATAACCTTACAAAGAGGCGAAGGTTGACTTTTTAACACTATCGATTTTGTGGCACATTCAGACCTACTCCGGCCTCTTCTGTGTCGCTGTGAACCCATATAAGAGGTACCCCATCTACTCATACGAGGTCGCAATGAAGTACAAGGGCAAGCGGCGTGCTGAGATGCCTCCACATCTTTTCTCCATCGCTGATAACGCTTATCATAGCATGCTCGCCGATCGTGAGAATCAGTCTATTCTCATTACGTAAGTCTGCACTTTATAATTTAATAGGAAGACACTTAGATGGCTCCTCTCTCTTTTTTATTCCGATGAGAAACTCATCTTCTTGCATCAATCAATGATAGTTTTAGACTTACTTCATGGCTAAAATGTAGTTTGTTTTTTTAAAACGTGAATGAAATAGTTAGAATGAAAAGCCCACTGCAGCTCCAAATCGTGGTACAGTCGCGATGTTGACAATCAACCCCTTCATGAGATCGAAAACTCTCGTGCACGCATTTGCAGAGGTAAAACTTAGATGACAAGCCAATTGAGCAAGTACTGTTGTCTTCCACTGCAGTGGTGAATCCGGTGCCGGTAAGACTGAGAACACGAAAAAGGTCATCTCATACTTCGCCTTTGTTACTGCCAACCCCTCAAAGAAGGGCGAGGAGGTTGAGAAAAAGGGCAGTCTTGAGGACCAAATCGTCCAGGCTAATCCTCTTCTAGAGGCCTATGGTAATGCAAAAACAAACAGGAACAATAACTCTTCTCGTTTCGTAAGTTTCTTCACTTGTGTCGTAAATCTACCCCCTTTTCAAACCATCATTGATTACATTTAAGCTTTTTTCAAGTTCCTTTCTGTCATCTTTCGATGCGTAAACCCATCATAAATGTGAATTAACTTTCAGGGAAAATTCATTCGTATCCACTTCGGTACAACGGGAAAGATTGCTGGTGCCGACATTGAATTCTGTAAGTTCCTTTCTTGATTGCTTCTAACATTTTAAATTTAGACTTGCTTGAGAAGTCTCGTGTAACTTCTCAAATGAAGGGTGAACGTAACTTCCACATTTTTTACCAACTGCTCTCGGACTACGGCAAGAAGTACCACGGTAAGAATCGTTTTTCGGGACGCCATTTTACTCATTTTTTGCTAAACAGATAAGCTCCTGGTTACTGCGGATCCCGCCCTCTACTCCTTCATCAACCAGGGTGAACTGACAATCGATGGTGTAGACGACTCGGAGGAAATGAAGCTCACTGACGAAGCTATCGACATCCTGGGCTTCACCAACGACGAACGCATGTCACTCTTCAAGTGCACAACTTCCGTTATTAACATGGGAGAAATGAAGTTTAAGCAGCGTCCTCGTGAGGAACAAGCCGAGGCTGATGGCACCGCCGAAGCTGAGAAAGTCGCCTTCCTTCTAGGCGTCAACGCTAAGGACCTACTGAACTCGTTCCTCAAGCCAAAGGTTAAAGTCGGGAACGAATTCGTGACAAAGGGTCAAAACCTGGATCAAGTTAATTTTGCCGTCAATGCACTGGCGAAGTCTCTGTATTCTCGTCTCTTTACATGGCTGGTTGCTCGTGTCAACAAGACCCTTGATACCAAAGTCAAAAGGCAGTACTTCATCGGTGTCCTGGATATAGCTGGTTTCGAGATCTTCGATGTATGCCTTCTATCTCTTCCACCATCCCACTAATTGCTGCCATTACCATGCCCAAATTCATACTTATTTTTTTGTGTAAAATGCAGGAAAATGGATTTGAACAGATCTGCATTAACTACACCAACGAGCGTCTCCAGCAATTCTTCAATCACCACATGTTCGTCCAAGAGCAGGAAGAGTACAGAAAGGAGAATATCCAGTGGACTTTCATCGATTTCGGAATGGACCTTCAAGCGTGTATTGATCTCATTGAAAAGGTGGGATTACAGTTTGTAGATGTGTGTTGCAATTTTCCCGAAGTTTTTAATGGTGTTGTGTGCGCGTATTCTTTGAACAGCCCATGGGTATTATGTCCATCCTGGAAGAAGAGTGCATGTTCCCCAAGGCCACTGACGAGACCTTCAAGAATAAGCTCTACGACAACCACCTGGGCAAGAGCCCCAACTTCGCCAAGCCAAAGCCGCCGAAGGCCGGCCAGAAGGAGGCCCACTTCGAGCTGCACCACTACGCCGGCAGTGTGAGTTGCCCCTCGCTTGATGCATTAGGCTGCCAGTGCTAGGCTTAGCCGCAATCGTTTATGCGCTTCTTAAAGCCAATTTACTGGATTTGCGTGGTTTGGTGAACCTTTTTGCGTCCTAGCTGCACCCACAATCTGACTGCATCAATGATTGGCATCGCCTCTCTTAAAAACATGGACAAGCACATTCACAAAAAGGTCTCAATTACACCATTTTAGTCACGTATTTAGAGTGGGTATTGAACTACGGTGTCATAAACCACAGGTCTTGGTTATTTGAGACTTCGACGCCATTGGCGCTAGTATTGTGTTTGATGCTTTGTACTTGAAGGTAACTTTGCCCGTTTATTTGCAACCAGGTGCCCTATAACATAACCGGCTGGTTGGTGAAGAACAAGGACCCTCTGAACGACACCGTCGTCAATCTTTTGATGGAGTCAAAGGAGTCCCTCGTGGCCCACATGTTCGCTCCCCCAGAAGGTACCGTTTTTTGCTCGAGATTTGATAAAGTTAAGCAGTTATCCATGCTCAAGTCCCATTGGATAACCAATAACAACTCCAAAATATTTAACATCCGAAACTCAAAGAAGTAGTGTTCTCCCATCCCCTGTAAAAGACAAGATAACTTGTCTACTTTTGCCTAAAACCGTATTAAGGCATTGGATATTATAAAAACTCATTAATCACAATTTTTTCGAAGAATTAAATTGTGCTTTCGCTTGAATTGTAAAAACCTATGAGAAACAAGGATATTTCTTCCGAAATCACTGATGTTATTGCTCGTCACGCATAAAAGGACTCCAGCGTGAAACAATTGGGTACCAAATCGAGCTCAAGTGGAAGAGAGAAGGAGAGAAGGAGAATGAGGGAGGATGAACTCATCTTCTCATGGACACACAAGCATTTGAGCAGATATTTTAATTTTTTAACTTGGCAGCATGTAACTGAGTGTTTAAAAAACCCTCATCTAGATGGAACAAAGAAAAAGAAGTCCAGTTCTTTCATGACTGTAACCTATACTCACCGGGTAATCTCCCTCTCCCATTCGAGCCTTCAGTTTCGCACATTCCCACATGCGCAGCACGTTGACTTGCAGCACTTGCAGCAACCCCATTTCTGATATTCACGCTACTTACAAAAAATAAGTAAATGGTAATATGGCACATTAGTGGGGTGGGAAACCAAAGTTTTTTTTATCCGTGCCTTTTAGTAAATATGCTTTTTATCCTTTTTCTCCAACACAAAATATCATGCAATAGATACCGGTACAAAGAGAAAGAAGGGCGGTGCTATGCAGACAATTTCTGGAACTCACAAAGTACAAAAGCGAACTTTCGCACTATTTAGAGCAGTTCAATTTATACAGAAATGTTTCTGTTTGTGTGTGTGAATGAGTGTGTTTGGGTGTACGTGAGTATGTACGTGTTTGTAGGTCTAGTTCCTCGTCTAAAGTACTTAGCTTCACACGCCCATGGTAGATGGGGCGAGCTGTAGCCTAGATCAATGTTTTCTTGTTGTCTGCCATGGAGCATTAGTTGTAGTACCTGTAGCAAGCGAACACATTTATCGAATTCTACGACAGCATTATTGTCATGTTAAATTTGTGGATGACAAGTCTATTGCACAGAGGAATAACTGCCTTGTGCACTTGGCGGAGGCCCGAAATTCACCTGCACGCGCATGAGGCATGTCGCATGTTGCAAGTCGCATCGCACACATATATTGTCGGTGCTATTCTTCTGTCATTTATTTGCATATTTTAACACATTTAGGAGTCTCTGAACAAACTGATGAAGAACTTGATGAGCACAAGTCCTAGCTTCATTCGTTGCATCGTCCCCAACGAGTTCAAACAACCTGGTGAGCAGAAACTGTAATCAATTGATTCCATCCTACTGCCGCCAATGTCAGTAGTATACCCCTTCTGAGGTCTTCCTTTGTTACCCCCTAGGTGTCATTGACGCCCACCTCGTGCTGCACCAGCTCCACTGCAACGGTGTGCTTGAAGGTATCCGTATTTGCCGGAAAGGTTTCCCAAATCGAATGATCTACTCTGAATTCAAACAGCGGTAAGTTCTATTGGTCCCTAAGGATAGGTGACACAATGAAATGTAAACTAACAAGCCTTTATTTGTGATTCAGCTATTCTATCCTCGCGCCAAACGTGATCCCTGCTGGTTTCATCGATGGCAAACAGGTGACTGAAAAGATTCTTGATGCGTGCCAGCTTTCGAAGGAGAGCTACCAATGCGGCAACACCAAGGTCTTCTTCAAGGCCGGTACTTTGGCCGAGTTGGAAGACATGCGAGATGAGAAGCTTAACAAGATAATCTCCAACTTCCAAGCCCAGATTCGCGGCTATTTGATGCGCAAGGAGTACAAGAAGCTGCAAGATCAGAGGTAAATTTTGCCCTAAATCAGTCTTTCTCTGAGGATGTAGACATAAATGTTTAGCTAACTAGCTGATTCCTTCTCACAATATCTACTTCAAAGTATCTTCAAATAAAAAGGGTGGTTTTATTTTACTCTTAGGACCGCATTGGCTTTAATTCAGCGAAACATCCGCAAATACCTAATGCTAAGAACGTGGCCATGGTGGCGACTTTACACCAAGGTCAAGCCCATGCTAAACATAGCTCGTCAAGAAGAGGAAATGAAGAAGGCTGCCGAAGAACTGGCCAAGTTGAAGGAGGAATTCGAGAAGCTTGAGAAGCTGAAGAAGGAACTCGAGGAGCAAAATGTCACTCTTCTTCAGCAGAAGAATGACATATTCCTTCAACTTCAGACCGAACAGGATAACCTCGCCGACTCTGAGGAGAAGGTCTCCAAGCTGATCCTTCAAAAGGCCGACATGGAGCAGCAAATTAAGGAGTTGGAAGAACGCCTAAACGATGAGGAGGACTCTAGCAGAAACCTTGAGGAGGCCAAGAAGAAGTTGGCCGCGGAGATTGATGAGTTGAAGAAGGATGTTGAAGACCTGGAGAGCACGCTTCAGAAGGCCGAACAGGAGAAGCAGGCCAAAGACAACCAGATTAGGCAACTTCAAAGCGAGATGCAACAACAAGAGGACCAACTCGCTCGCCTTAATAAGGAAAAGAAGGCTCTGGAGGAACAGAATAAGAGGACTTCCGAAGCTCTTCAGGCTGAGGAGGACAAGGTCAACCACCTCACCAAACTAAAGGCCAAACTCGAGTCAACCCTTGATGAGGTATGCCGCGTACTGACTGATAAGCCCTAGACACGTAAATTCGAACGATATTAGAGTTGTGGTTGCTCATAATGTGCAATGCACCACGATTAAGTCTGGAAGTTTGGCCTAGTGACCAAACTTCACACATTCCACGAACGCTATGGCCAAAAGTCATTCCTAAATATGCAGTAGTTCTGTTGAAGTATGACCGAAAATTCGACGCACATGTTTTGGTTTATTGGCTCTTAACTGATGTGTAGCGTTCTCATGTGGTTGATTTGTCTACCAGCTATGAAAATCGCTGCTTTACTGATACCGAAACCACTGACACTGGCTGCATTTGCTTCACAAATGTTATTTTAGATGGAAGAGAACCTTGCCCGTGAGCAGAAGATCCGCAGCGACGTTGAGAAGGCCAAGAGGAAGCTCGAAGGGGACCTCAAGGCCACGCAAGAGACGGTTGACGACATGGAGCGCGTGAAACGCGACCTCGAGGAACAGCTTCGCCGTAAAGACGCCGAACTTAATAACATGGGCAGCAAGTCCGAGGAGGACCAGGGCTTGATAAACCAGCTTCAACGCAAAATTAAGGAACTTCAAGCCCGTATTGCTGAACTCGAAGAAGACCTGGAAGCCGAACGAGCTGCCCGCAGCAAAGCCGAGAAAGCCCGTCAACAGGTTATTAAAGCGTTTAGTGTTAAAGCAAAGATAACTGTGTTATTGGGTTGATTTCCTACAACAATTATTATTTATTGAATGTAGCTCGAGGCTGAACTTGACGAGGTCAGCGACCGTCTAGAGGAACAAGGTGGTGCAACCGCTGCTCAAATGGATCTCAACAAGAAACGCGAGGCTGAGCTCATTAAGCTTAAACGCGACCTAGAAGAGGCACGCATCCAGAATGAGCAACAAATCGCTGCTATGCGTAAGAAGCAAACTGACGCTATCAACGAGGTCACCGATCAACTGGACCAAGCCCAGAAGCTCAAAGCCAAGTAAATTTGCTTCTTTTGAAGGCAAGAGATAATTGTGGGTTGTGTGCTAACAAGGCGTTTTTTTACATCAGGCTCGAAAAGGAGAAGACCGACTTGAAGGCCGAGTGTGACGACCTCCAAGGACAAGTTGCCAATCTAGCTAAACAGAAGGTACTGTTAAGTTTGCTGCCTAGCATTATTAAACGTGCAAAGGTAGTTCTAATCGCCATCTTTGGCTCTAGATGAACGCTGAAAAGAATTGGAAGACATTCGAAGCCCAGGTTAGTGAGCTTCAAGCTCGTCTGGATGAGGCGACGCGCCAGAACACCGATGCCGGATCCCAAAAGGCTCGTCTTACGCAAGACGTCACTGAACTCCAACGACAGCTCGAGGAAGCCGAGTCCCAGATTGGCCAACTCACCAAGGCCAAGCAGCAGCTTGCTAGCCAATTAGAGGAGGCACGCCGCAACCTCGATGAAGAGACCAGGGTAAGTTTCCCGTGGGCTAGTCTCCGCATGCATAGAAAAACCTGTTGTTCGGTTTAGGCCACTGAGAGTATGCTTGTTGCGAATTTCGGTTTGATACATATTGCTGTGGGCCCCAAAATGTGGTCTTGAACCACGCCGGGGCCACGGAATTAACCCTGGCCCGATTACGCTTCCCCAATACCCGCGACGAAGAAAAAGATCGGGGAGGAAGTGGACACAACCGTTTACTTCAGGGCTCAACCACGTCGGTGTCGATGTGTCATGTGTGGGGTTTGCGCGTGTGTATATTTACCGCAGATGTGTGAGTCATACAACAATTTTTTCAGAGGTTAATTTGACACAAATTGGTAAGGCTAAACATCTAAATAAGTCTATTGAATTTTTCTTATTTCGAAAACACTACACCTGAGTTTGATGGATAATTTTTTTTATCATTTCAGGCCAAGTCTAAGCTCAGCTCTGAGGTGCGCAACCTCAATTCTGACCTCGACGCGTTGCGTGAATCCCTTGAGGAGGAACAGGCTTCCAAATCAGACATGCAGCGACAAATTCAGAAGCTGCAAGCAGAAATCGCCGCTGGCGTCGGCAAGGGACAGGGTGACATCAAGAACGAGGAGTTTGAGGAAATGAAACGCCGCCTCAACGCCAAGATTCAGGAATACGAAAGCGAGGCTGAAGCTGCAAAGCAGAAGTGTAGTCAGTTGGAAAAAGTCAAGGCCCGCCTACAGGGTGACATTGAAGACCTCATGGTCGACGTTGAACGCGCTAACGGTCTTGCTAGCCAACTTGAGAAGAAACAGAAGAATTTCGACAAGACCCTTGGTGAATGGCAAGCGAAGTACGCCGAGTCTCAGAGTGAGTTAGAAAACGCCCAGCGTGAAGCTCGTGGCTACTCAACTGACGTCTTCCGCCTCAAAGCGCAGCTAGAGGAGGCTCAGGATCAAATTGAGGCTGTCCGCCGAGAAAACAAGAATCTTTCGGGTATATTGTTGAAACCACAAATAATTTATATATTTGGCTAATTACTATTTCATGCATTGATCTCCACTTTCAGATGAAATTCACGACCTGACTGAACAACTCGGAGAGGGTGGCCGATCGGTCCATGAAGCCGACAAGGCACGCAAGCGTCTCGAGATGGAGAAGGAGGAGCTCCAGGCTGCCCTAGAGGAAGCCGAGTCGGCTCTCGAGCAAGAGGAAGCCAAAGTTCAGCGAGCGGCCCTTGAATTAAGCCAAGTTCGTTCGGAGATTGATCGTAGACTGGCCGAAAAGGAGGAGGAATTCGAGGCAACTCGAAAGAATCACCAACGGGCCATCGAATCCATGCAGGCCTCTCTTGAGGCTGAAGTCAAGGGTAAGGCCGATGCCATGCGCATGAAGAAGAAGCTCGAGCAGGACATCAACGAACTGGAAGTCGCCCTCGACTCAGCTAATCGCTCCAGAGCGGAGATGGAGAAAAACGTCAAGAAGTTCCAGCAGCAGGTACAGCGTCAAAACGTTTATGGGCTATCATGCATTTATAATTTATCAGATATTTTGATCTGATTTGCTTAAATTCCTTCTTGTAGGTGCGTGAATTAGAGTCTCAGATTGAGGAGGAGCAGAGGTCGCGTGAAGAACTTCGTGAGACCGCGAGCACCGCAGAGCGCCGAGCTCAAATGATGGCCGCTGAAATGGAGGATCTGCGCAACCACCTAGAAGCCTCTGAACGCGCCCGCAAGACTGCCGAAATGGAAAGAGCAGAGGCCGCTGATCGTGCTTCGGAACTCTCCGTCCAGAGCGCTTCTTTCACTGCCATGAAACGCAAGATGGAAGCTGACCTTGCTGCTATGCAGGTAAATCCTCCTTCTAATTCCCTTTTGGTTATTGTCGACGGTGAAGCTTCAAGTTACAAGTGATCGGTATTCAGCAGTCAACATTAAGCACAACTAGTTGAATTGTATTTTCTAGTGGATTGCTAGTTCACATTGTTGTCTAATGGTGTAGAATATTTGAAGATAGTAAGGGCTCACCCCTCGGTGTAAATACCCACATATTCGTAATCATCAGAGTCTGGAATTCTGAAGTTAAGCAAACTGGAAAGTCGATTCATATTCGAATTATTAATATGCGGCAACTTCTTAGGCTGATCTTGAAGAGGCCGCTAATGAAGCAAAGCAGGCCGACGAACGCGCGAAGAAAGCTATGGCCGACAGCGCTCGCGTATTCGAGGAAGTGCGCCAAGAGCAGGAGCACACACAGCACGTAGAGAAGGCCAGGAAACAACTTGAACAACAAGTTAAGGAGTTACAAGTGCGTTTGGAGGAGGCCGAATCGAACGCTATGAAGGGAGGCAAGAAGGCCCTTGCCAAACTCGAGCAACGTGTCCGCGAGCTTGAAACCGAGCTGGACGCCGAACAACGTCGACATGGCGAAACGCAAAAGAACTATCGAAAAATAGACCGACGCCTCAAAGAAGTCACACTGCAGGTACTTGAACTATTTCAAAAGGCCTAGTATTGAACGAAAATTTGCTTTCAATTCATTACCTTTTTGATCTGTTCTTTTTAGGCTGACGAAGACAAGAAGAATTACGATCGCATGCAGGAGCTGGTTGACCAACTCCAAGGGAAAATCAAGACCTACAAGAGACAGGTGGAAGAAGCTGAGGAGATCGCTGCGGTCAATTTGGCCAAATACCGCAAGATCCAGCATGAAGTTGAGGACGCCGAGGAACGCGCAGATCAGGCTGAACAGGCTTTGCAGAAACTGCGAGCCAAGAATCGCTCCTCTGTCTCCATGTCCCGGGGTCCCAGCGCAGCTCCTGGTGGCCGCTCCATCAACATGACTACCAACTCGCACGTGGCTCGTGTAAGGACCATGGCTCCGTCCGAATTCGATGATGAGGTGAATTTTTTATTCTGACACTGGCGTTCAAGTCCTTGTTCAGAGCCACCCTGGAAAAATTTTCTGATATTGTTATTATCGTAAGAACAACAAGGGGTGCATTGTCTAGCCGTACATTAAATGTCCAAACTACAGACAAGGGCATTTCATTGATTTGTTATTATGGTGTTACTGACATTGATCCTAGTTAATGACGTCATTTTAATGTGATTGTTGGGTTTTGACTTTGTTTGTAAGACGAAATCTTGGGTGAATTTTCAAACTAACAGTTTTGACTCTGATTCTAATTAACATGACTTCCTGTTTAAGCCAGTAGATGGCAACTTCCCAACTCATGATTCACTAATGCGTACTTCTTTGTTTTAGTAAATCTTCTCCGTTAACTTGGACTCGAAACTCCAATATTTGTCTTTTACGCCAACTCCACCTTTTGAAGACATCCATATCCGCTTTCGAGTAGCCACCGTGGAACAAAGCTTTCGCAATTTACAACTCTTGGCTTTACTTTCTATAGACAAACGCGCACACACACACACCTGACTTTAAGGTAGTTTCCCCTCCTTTTTCTCCTTGTACCCGGATGTGAGTGACTATGGGTAGCTTTCCGATTTGGCATCAGGACTTAGATCAGTTACGTAAACAACACCATGCCCGCACTTACTCAAGATTTCACCAGCTCTCATCTTTCGCCTAACGATGTTGTGTAGCTTTGCCGTGTGTATTCTTCCCCAGCAAGTCCTGCAGTCGCAAATAGTCGGCTGACTTCGGTTGGTCACTTCTGAAATCTTGCCTTTGAAGGGGATCGTTCAGAAATCAACCCCAATTACCCTCTTAGGGGGACATTCACGTCCTTTCTTGTGTGCATCTAGCTACCCGTAGATTCACACATGACTGACACTACCACAAAACCATTACAAGGAGATCAACCGCAAGTCTCTAACCTCAACTTTTCGACATCCCTTACTCTTATTCTCATACCCAGTTATCGTGTTTGTGTATTATCTTCAGTACCCAATCCTCTGCCTTTAGATCAACAATGATAACAATAATAATAATAAATTCACACATGTAAGCAACACGTGCGAATCGTTTGGTTTTTTAAGTACATTGTGAAAATATGACACAATCGCAGTCGTTGTGGCACGCTTATTAACATGGCTTGGTTATCCAGTCGTTGGCAATCCAACTAACACCGCAGGAGTCATAATATTGGTGCAGTTATTACTACCATTGGTCAACGTTTGAAGATGGTCTAGCTAGCAACGGAGAAATTTAACCAGTCGAAGTAGCTGGCCTTGTCTTTCGACATATTTCAAAAAAAACGTTACAGTATGAAAGAACAATTCAAAAAAATTTGACTCAACTATCAAAAAATAAAAACTATTTGTGAACTAATGCAAACCACTTGTCTCCGTTTACACCCACACCAGTTGTGTACGTGGGAAAGACGAATGCTTCAAAAAACTGTAGGCAATTTTGAGCATGATATAAAAGTTCAAATGCCTAATTCTGTCTCTGTAACACGAACATAGAAAAAAAAACAAAGAGGGCGTTGGGTGGGATCACACATCAGTTTCTCGAAAATGGTAGTCATCAGCGATAAATGTTAACTGCTCGTAAGTTGTGAAAACAGCCGTGTTTCAAATGTAGCGACTCGGGGAATGGGTTCGTAGCTGAGTTGGTTTTAACACAGGAACTCAAATTCTTTGACACAAGCTGGAAGTCCGATTAAACTGCTGATAATTTGCAGAACAGCTGGTCACTGTGAGAAATGGCTTTTAGTCAATTGATTAAAGGACTTGTGATGGCTAGGACATTTAACACTACCTTACAACCCTCTAGTTAACATCCCGTAACTACCCGAGGAAAGGGGGAAAAGCGGCGACAGAGAATACGACCGCTTATTAGTATCACACCAGCCAAGTGGCTTTGTATTCGCATGAGTACATGTGCGTAGCAGGCGAATGCTGACAGAGGCCAATAACAAAAGGGGTGAGTCATTGGTACACTCGGGCCCTCATGCACGCATCGTTCACGCGAGGTGGCTGTCAGTCCACTACAGACTCGGAGGAGTCGGTGCTAAATGAAACACGATAAAACTTACGATGCGCACAACCACCACGAGTTCAAGGCATTCCTGGTGTCCCAACTTCTTCATGGATGACGGATCAGGTTTTTTGATTTCAGAGTCGACAAAACGCCAGAAGTTGACAAGATATAGGCCTCAAAACTGGTGTCCCATTGGCGTGTATGAAGACTCTACTGATATCAAATAAAATGTGAAGTTAACGTGCAAAGGTGTGTAAACGAAATTAACCGTCAAATAAACATTAGTATGTAAGTTAATCTACATGCCTTCGACCCAAAAAGTATACCACAACATAGCTTCTCAGAGTTCAACTGTACCAGTAGGCGCTGAATATCAACTGTGCAATGCAAAAAAGAGTGTGAAGCGTTGTTTAGAGCTACCTTAAAACAGGTTGCAACAACCCGGGAACAGAGACAAGCGACAGCCGATAAGACTGTTTATTCACTTCAGGCCAGGTGAATGTGTGTTTATGTGAGGATGTGTGTGCCTAAGTGTAGAGAGTGATAACACCTAACATTGAAAAATAGTATTGAGACATTGACACCAGGTCAACCTGTGAATAAGCTTCACGCCCGCGTCCGTCGACAATTCATTACACGTAGAACATATTTTGATTTCCAACTTTTAAGAAAGTAATTAACTGAAAAGTAGTAAAAGCTTAAACACAAATGTAAATACGTCCAAATGTCAAGGGATATCAGGTTATTTTTTTAAATTCAAGTCTATTCCAACATCGTACTTAACAGAAGTAACGATCAAGATGGTAACTTGTGGAGTGAGCCAAGGACAAATCTATTGGGCAATGAGCCAGCTGCAGTCCAGTTAACCTCGTTCACATGACACTATTTCCTACACTCCCAAAACGCCATCTTTGAGTGCTCACGTTTTCATCAGTTACTGTGCCATTCGTCGCCCATTTCAACCCACTTACGATAGACCTTCCAGAGTACTCAGGCGAGAGGAAAATATTTTTGCTGCCACTGACAACGGAAAATAAGACGTCATATCTGTTGACCGCCTCAAACTAACTCTCCTTGACACGCAAAAGCAGGCCATCAACAAGCCACAGGTTCAACTAACTCCCACCCCTTTTGACACTAAACGGATATTTACTTCTACGCCCTATGGCAAGCTCGTTTATTTGCCCTACCGTTACGAATCTTGAAGAGAAGACAATCGCTTGACAAATAGAATAATGCCAATCTCATTTAACTCCAAGATCGATTTTTCAGATTCCCAACAGGAATTAAAAGTTGCCATTGTCAATCGCTCCCAACAACGCCTAGGGTCACGACTATACTACTGTTCAGTTTGTAGTGAGTCATATTGATTCACGTTCAATAACCCAGTCGTCGCAGTCCCTACCACACGTTCCCCCTTTTCACCGCATTACCCCTCAGTCACGTGAGGCGGTCTGTCCACTAACCCCTCTGCATGTACCACCGCCACCCGCCTTATTTATGTGACCTCACAGACGCCCCTGTTTATCTTTACAAGTCCACTCAACCGTATCAGTAAACACTACAACTAGTAAACGGTCATTTCTGCCATTTTTGGACTAATTTTCTTCCTGGGTTACTATGTATCGTAAAACGGCTTCAATAAGCTCAACCTTGTCATGTATCACGACCACTGCCTCACTTAACACTGATCCATCTCATCTCGTTCCACTTTCGCCCAGTAAAGCCGCATTTTGGACTCAGTCCCTCTTGGCATTTTTTGGTTCTCGGTTATCAATCAGATCATGTTGTTAACATTTTCTGTAAAAATCTTCACAATCGACACATGCTGCCTTCACGAAACCCACGGCCTGCATTTCAGTATTCCTGTTGGAGGAAAGGGTTCGCCAACTACTTCAGCTAAGGGGAAGGGGAGGGATCTGCAGTGAATCGTGTCGATTCACGCCGCTTAACCACGCCATCACATTCTCCCACAAGCTGCTCCACTTTCACAGCGTGCTCGTCAGCCATGCAAAACCGTCTGTTCACACGGCTCCGTGCAAATACCACATTTGTTACCTTTTTCATTCGTCTCGCCAGTCATTCGCTTTAGTATTGGATTTTCACCCAAACTGCGTGGAGCAACAACTACATTCATGCATGACTTTGAGTACGCACTCAAAACAACACAACATGATTTGGGCATTGGATAAACGGTCAATTCTCTCTCTATCTTCACTCATTTCTTCCTCGGGTACTTCCATAAGCACGAGGCGCCAAAACGTATCGGAACTTGCAACAGAACGGAAGCGGCCTGCGAATCTCGACCTAAGAAATAGTTAAGATATGCCATCGTAATGACACCTAAAATAATATGCCTTAACAACCGTGACGCTATTAGTAACTCGGTAACTACCAACAGCGATTGTGCGAAGACAAACCCGACCCAACCTGTCAAGCAACAATACTATACCTGCGACTAACGGATGCTTCTAATTTTGGACCAAGTAGGGGCACCGAGATATAACGGGTGAGCAGTGCGATTACCCACCCTCCAAATTTACTTTTCATACCCATACGTTTAAGCCAAGCTCCACCCGAAACCCACAGTCTGAGTTGCCATCCCGTGTCGACCACGACATTTACTGTCAGGCTTAATTCACAAGGGAACAGAGCGGATTCCTGGGCTTTCACAAACTGCAAAACGGAATTTTAGTTCATTAGCCCGAGTCATTTAGCACCAAGGTGTCATCTGGAAATTCCAACATTCAGGTCGCAATGCAGCGAGCGCGTGTGCCCACATCACGACCTCAGATTTTGATTCAATTCTCTTAATTGCTTAAAATTGTAGATTTGGTCCACGGCTAAAAGCGAACTGGTGAGGCGGATGTACGCGTGACAGGTTCCCCATAGGTTTTTTTGCAATTTAATTTAATTCCATTTCATTTTAGAACACTGCTGTCTGAAGATAATTAACTTAGAAAATCCTACACCACATATTTCAAAAAGGCCGTTAGCACCCACACACCGTCAAGATGCAAATAGGAGCACAATCACACAACCCACGTTTAAGACATAACGGATGCATGCGAAACGAATGCGTTTCTGTAACTGGCAGCCCAAAACATCTCAGAAACAGCTTTGGGAGGCGAACTACCAACACACCCTCGGTGCCCTTCAGGTGCTCGTGTTCCCCTCGGCAAATACCTCTTAATTACACTGTCATGACAAAATAGCTGGCGAACTAGAGGGTAACAAAGTAATCTTCCGTTCTTCACTAATCCCCGTGAAACTGAGATGGAGCACGAGGCAATGCCAAATCAAGAGACGACGCAACTACCCGCACCTCGACAAATCACTAGCTTCAAACACTGCAGACAAACCATGTTAAAAACGCCATTGGCGCGCCAAACAGTTAACGTCGATGTGCACAGAACCTCGTTTAGGCACGCCGAACGGACTCCAATTAGATGCAAGTAACAACACAACGATGGAAACGCCCGGAGCGGCAAAGCGACACACATCTGCCACCAAATAACTTATTGACAAGCCACGAAAACGCCAGACCGACTTCCAATAAGGCCAAAGGCGTAAATCAACCAAGTGATCCACATCCAGTAAAACTTACAAAGCCAAGAGGTGTACCTACTCAAAGCATATTAAACCTGACACCGCTCGCGTGTACGAAGCCTCTTACCGCCAAGCGCGCTTGGTAATCCAACCCCACAAAGAGGAACGCAAAACACTACCATGGTGACCACCACACCATTCATGATACAGAACAGAGGACAAGCGCGCGAGAAACCATTGACAAGTCCGAGGGGCACGGAGACGGCCAGCGCGAGCCAGTCAGAACTGACCCCAGTGCAAGATTCCCCGTCAAAAAGTAACTGGAGTATTGCCAGGGGCCCGAAAGCACACACACTTGGCCGACAAACTACGTATTCCACGATAAAGAACCACAACTGAGGCGCGAGCTAGTAAGCAGACTACTCACAGAAAACACCGCAACACCCCAAACCAGACAAAAGAATTATAGGCCCAAGTTGTTATTATGCATGCATGGAACACTTCATTGGGATCTTCTCGGCAATGGAGTTACAGCTCACCACACTTGGCAATAAGCACTTCTTGGGACGGTTTGCCGCTATCGCTCCCAACCTGTTCCATGAGCTTGACCACATCAGCACCAGACTCGACTTCACCGAAGACCACGTGCTTTCCATCCAGCCAACTAGTTATGGCCGTGGTGATGAAGAACTGTGAGCCGTTAGTGTTCTTGCCAGCATTAGCCATCGAGAGCATCATGGGTTTGGAGTGTTTGTGGATAAAGTTCTCATCATCAAACTTGTGTCCGTATATACTTTTCCCACCAGTACCGTTTCCGGCAGTAAAATCACCGCCCTGGCACATGAAACCTGGGATGATGCGATGGAACTTCGAACCACTGTATCCAAATCCTTTCTCGCCGGTGCACAGAGCCCGGAAATTTTCGACGGTCTTTGGGACGTCGTCATAAAGCTACAAAAATAAGTTAAGAGTCACAGAATCACCTTGAACACAATGGTGCCAACAGGCTTTCCACCAATTGTTATGTCGAAGAAGCACCGGGGAGCCATCCACGTTTCAAACCAAAAACGAAATAGGAAGAATGAGTCTACGACTGACTTAAACAAAATCTGTTTACTCAAATTAAACAAAAATGAAACACTAACATGCGCATCGTGATAAGAGCATTTGAGGAAATAAATTATAATAAGCCAAGGTAATTAGTATTCTTCTCGATTACAGCGAAGGAATAAGTCAAATTAATGGTACACTTTGACAATTGATCTGATTATCATATATATCATTTGTTTTGAGAAATGACGCCAAAATATGGTGCAATAATGTGTCAAGCTATAAACCCTGTACTACATGCAATCCGCCTAGTCCTGGTAATCTAATTTCATATCGTCGCCTCCCGTCCTGCTCAGCTGTTAGCAACTAGGTTTACTTCACCTTTCGAGAAGTCCTGACTTCCCTTCAACACATATAATTTTCCTTGCAGTTTGTTAGCTTGCAATAAAAAACCCCATGTGTAAGTCTGTGGTCTTTATTTTCCGCCTTTTTGAATGTCAGCATATCTGCAAGCTATGCTTGCTTTTCCTTATGAAAGCTCCTAATTTTTCTAGTTTCCAGGTCAGGTAGCGCATTACAAAAGGAAATGGTGAGGTGTCTTTGAAAAGTTCTTTAAGTGTGCGATTAAATGCAGATTGTATTTTTTAACAAGGTACGGAACATCAGTAAATTTTATTCCTGTAAACGGAGAGTTGGATTCAGCTAATAAATATCCATTCTCTATAGATTAATTGCTGTGCTGCGAATGAGATCTCCAGTATTTGTTCACAAAGCTGGCAAAAATCAAAATCAAATAAATCGCTTTGTTTTCAATACGTTGCTTGTTTACCTGGTAACACCATATTATTTCTCATTTTATTTCTATTCAGATCTTGTGGAAAATTTTTATTCACAATGACTCACATAATAATATTTTCAGTACACATAGGTCCACAGTACTCATATATTAAAGGTTAAAGAGTTAAAACTGGGATTTCATCAGCTCTTTAACTTCTTGCAGGCTTGAATCAAACGGAAGGATTGATTTCGGTTGTTTTTCCCGACTTTCCTTTTGGCGCCTACACAAGCTCGTCTACGTTCTAGCTAATGGATTATAGCAAGTGGGATCACATCGAGGTTCAACTTATTTTTGTTTACTGATATTTAGGTATCTGATGACGAAGATGACACTCATCCAAACATTGATACAGCCAGCCTTTTTCGCTGGCGCCATGAAGCACGTCTTAACAGAGACCGCGAATGGAAGGAAGAAAAGGAAAAATTTGAGAAGGAAAAGAAACAGCATTTTGAAGCCCTGCAGCTGGCACGATCAAGATTCAGTGACGGGAAGAAGGTTTGGTAGTCTGTTTTTCATATTATCTCTAGAATAATGCCTCTAATTTAAAAGAGTTGGAAGAGGACTTAAAGAAACTGGAGGAATTAGATAAAGAATGGCAGCAAAAGGAAAAAGAAATGAACAAAAAAGAAAGGGTATGGCTGAGTTTAAATATTTTTACTTTAGCTACGACCGCTCAATGTTGATACAATTAGTCATGAAGGAAGATCACGAACTGTAAGTTTATCATCTAATATAATGGTAATTTTAACTAAAAGGGCATTGGAAACTTGTTTTTACAAAACACCGGGTCAAAGAGCAGCAAACAATTTTTGTCATGCTCCGCTTTAATCTATTTTGAATCTTTTGTTTCGATGTCCTTTTTGTAATCAAACTTTTTTAATTCCTGAATTAACAAACTTGCCGTTTGGTAAACCAGTGAAATGGCCCACAAAAACTGTTTGTTACGGGTAAACTTACGAACACAATTCTTTCAGTTGCAAAACTACACCGAGTAATGAGGCACAAAATTCATATTTTCAGTGGTCAGTTTACTGTGCTTCCATTTCGATAAACTCTGAGCTGATGTTGATTTTATGGTCCTTTTTCCCTTATACGTACCCAAGCTTATCGTAGGGAAAAATTCTTTTTGTTGTTCCCGTACTAATCGGACATCTCTCAGGTTTGTTCAAAGTCAAGCGCCCGTTTTTTTCGATGCAGGTTATTAATAAGTCTGCATTGAAAGCGACATCTGGCGCTAATACCGATGCAGATGACTCCAACTTGCATGAAGATGCGGCTGACCGGTTACGGGACTTTGTTCAAAAACACGAGTCAGAAATCAAAAAGTTTGGAATGTTCCGCCGCCCTATCGACTCCCAACAGTATCTCCTGGAAAACCCCTACCTTGTTTGCGATGAGACGGCCAATCAACTTGTCCTGTGGTGCCTTGATCTTGCTATGGAGGAGGTGGGCTACTTGATTCTGCTTATGTGTTTTGATGGAGAGATAATAATAGTGATTGTTGTTGACAGTGTTGTCCTAAGTTTTCCAGCGGAACACTTAATTGTAAATTAACGTACTATTTTAATTAGGAACAATTTACCCTGTTCATATAACATTGTAACCTGTACTATAAGAAAAACCCATATTTCATTGTTTCATCCAAATTTTAACGGGTTCAACGTTATATGAATCTGTGCGATTGGAATTGCTGTGGACAATTGAAAGGACTAACATTGTTCAATGTCTTAGTTATGCCTGTTTGTAAGTAAAACTTGTATTCGAGTACCAAGTTCTATCAAACTTCGTGTCCAGCTTAGTTTTATGGTTACACGTAGTGTTTTTCTACTGCATCTCTTGGGTGCTCGTATATGGGAAGTTGCTGAATGAGTGGACAGTGGTGCGACATTCCACTTTGAAGCGAGCTCACCAGCCAGTCAGTTGTACTTTTAATTTAATTTTACGGTATTTTACAAGATTTATCTTTTTTTATTATAGAAGTACAGTCTACTTGACCATGTATCTCATCAATGTATTGTTATGCAGTTTATGCTGGAGTTAGCGAAATCTCTCAAATGTGACCCCCGATCTTGTATCAGACCATTCTTTAACAAGTGAGTCTTCTGCGTCCGTTGCAAATTTTTTAAACGTTTCAATTCATAAGTTGAAGCTAATTCAGAACCTCACAGCTTCTTATTGTGGGTTGCGGTTATAGTAATAGGTTTTTTGCTGGGCCGTATTGGTTTTTGGGCATAGGGAATGCCTGCAAAATAAAGTTAGTGTTCTGTCTGAGTGCTCGATTGTCAGTTGTCATTTAGAAATTGTAGATCATCCAAAGGGTCCCTGTTGTAGGGATGAAGAAGCGAGCAAGCGTGTTTTCGTGAGATGGGTCTTCGGTATTTCTCTAACGACGCAGATGTCGCATTTAGATGAGGCCTATCTCGTTTTGGCATCGAAATTTTTACCTCTAATGAAAACTTTTCCACTGGGTTATAATCCATTGAGGTCAGTTAAAAGAAACACCAATTACATATCTCTACCGTTCCAATAAAAATAACTTCGCGTGTCTCTGTGACCTTCTTGAAAGTACCTAGGTGTTTCATGGGCACCAACTGTCCTGTCAAATCCGTGGTTGGGGGTGAGGAAGTACGGTTGGTCACTTGAGGGTGTAGAATGTGCCCACCGAACACTTTAGTCCGGTCGGTAGTGTTGGTTGGTCTCTTTCAGTCTTTTCTCGGCATGTGGCTAGCAGGACCTCCTAGCTGTCCCCAATTCAGGCTCGAGCCAGTGATATTGTCGAATACTTGCCAAGATCTAGTCTTGTAAATTGCTCCATTCAAAGGTTGCTTCCCTATATGGTGCCCCGTTTTGATCCCATGGTTATACAAACAATTGGGCTTTTTCCTGCCACTTTTTCCGTGTGTTGAGAATACTGAGCATAGAAATCGCAAGACCCGCGTAAGATTGAAACTGAATATTTTCTGTGCAGCATAGTTAACGCATGAAATGGACAGTCGATAAAATTAACCGCACCCATACTATAATGCACTAGCACAATTTTCAATTTCCCTCCAGGTTCATTGACCCTGAACCAGAGTATGAACGAATGTTTCAGGCGGAACTGTCGGCGTTTCGAGTCCGAATTCGCGATCGAGCGAAAGTCAAGATTGCTGAGGCCATGCAACAATTGGAAGAAGAGGAACGTCAAAAACGTTTAGGACCCGGTGGCCTAGATCCCCTTGAAGTACTTGAAAGTCTCCCAAAGGTATGCTACACATACCGGCTCTGGCGTTGACTTGAAAAAAAAGAAACAAATCGTTTTAACGCTGAGGCGCTGTGTCAATCACGGCCGTCATATAAATTTCTGCTGTGTTAAGGTGAACATGTAAGAAATCATGATGACTTGCTAGTATTGAGATTTAGCATATGTGAAGCAAAGATTCTCCTATTCAGTGCATTACGTATTGGGGCTCCCTTGTGCAGTGAACTAGGTCACTTTTGATACAGCAATTCCTAAGTGAAATAAAATAATATGCCCATTTTCCTACACCGTAGGCATTGAAGGAGTGCTTCGAGACTCGAGATGTGGAGCTTTTGAAAACGACACTGTCAGCGATGGACCCCAAAGAGGCTGAGGAGTGCATGAAACGCTGCATTGCTTCCGGGTTGTGGGTCGAAAACGCGGCGGAACAGGGCGCGGAGGGCGATAACAAGGTGGAAATTGAGTCTAATTCAGCGGAAGAAGATGTAGAACCACATCAATCCGCTGCTCCCTCGATTCCCTGATATCTAAACACTTCCGGTACATGTAATGGTGCTCTTCACATAAGACCAACTGTTTTTTTGAAGTGGATAATATAGCTTTTCGATAATGCATTATCCGAAATCGTACTTTACGTGAAGTATTAACTTTTAGGGTTCCTTCGTCAAATCAACCTAGGCATGACAGGTCCTGGTGCTCATAAGTAACAAATGCGCAACACTTAATTATTCGTAAAGGATGACTTGATTATTTGGTGCACGAATGAAAGTCGAATTTGTTCACTCTCTTTTGTGCTTTATTCAATACTTGAATGAGATTTCTTTCATTTTTCATGACAGGATATTGAGCATCTGAAATTCGCTGCAATGGTTCTGTTAGATAGGGTATTACCTAAGGGATTTGCTGTTATGTCTGTGACATTAGGAAACGAGGGTGTTCTCTCCGCTGTCACACAGGTTGTTAATGGACGCATGGTGGGCTTTGACAAATCAGCACGGAGCTAATCTCGTTCGTGTTGCCATAGCCTGCTTAAGGACTGGGCTTTAGAAGTTTTTATACATTGTTTTACCTATTTGACTAAATCAACTGGAAAGGCTCTATTTGGCACACAGTGGTTGAGGCTGACTGACCAAACTACTTTGTGTGTCTTTTAGAACACGTTTCCTTGTGGGCGCTACTAATACCTGATTATAAGAATTTGGGTGTGCGTTTGATTAAGTTATCTACTTCCCCCTCCATTTTCTCATTAATGTGACTTACTTTACTTACAGTTGGTGGTCGGCAATCTTGGCTTTTTCACCTGTACGAAAAATCAGTTTAATACGGTACTTAGCTTGTGGCTAACGGTATTACTGCCTAAAGACCGCTCTAGTAAAGCTTAATTCTATCGGATTTTCAGAACGCTTACTCACCGCTTATCCAATACCGATCAACCGAATTTTCTCTGAATCACAGAGATCAGAAGTAGAAATCAGAAGTACAGCTTTTAGAGTTCGGCAGCAATATTTATTTGAAAATTCGCAACTGATGAACATTAACGAGGGGCAGAACAAATATGTTTGACTGCACCAGACCAAAATTCAGCTTAGCATGAAATCAGTGTTATTATGGAGCACTGATTGGAAAATATGGCAATGTAGCTGCTTTTAGGATTATGGGTAGAAGGAAAAATGTTGCTATATCTTTACTATACGAGAAAACCCAGAGTGATTTATTAAGATTGATCCCAATGTTATATGTGGCATATCAAAGAATAATGCTAACATCAGTGTATATCACCTATTTGGAATCGAAAGAATCTAATTCATGTAAGCTTAATGTTGAGTCACACGGAACCCGGAAATGTTTTTAGTGCCTAGGGATGTCCGAAGTTCATGGCATTTAGTAGAAAAGTGTTCCAAGCTTTCCGAATTGCTGTAGGTTGAGTGCTATTAGGAGTATGCGCGAAACAAAAAGTTACCTGCTATTTGACGACTGGAAATTTAATGAACTGGATAAGTTATATAACCGAGAATCAATTGTTCGTATTTTAACTCAATTTTATGAGCGAGATTTTCGAAGATCATGCATTCTTGAATCATCAGTGACAACGCCATGGTCATCGTTGGATAGCACATAGTTTTTCATTACAAGATGGGAGTTAGTGTGTGGAATGTTTGTGGCGACTTTTGATTCGAATAACGATGGAAATCAAAGGTAAGTAGAAGGAGTTTCAAAAAAAGCAAAATAATAGGTAGTGAATTTAAACGATTAGAAAGGATGTCCTCATTTTATTGGTTACAAATGGCTTTCTACAGGCCTTCTCTTGACAAAAATTGAAAGTCCCAACAGAAGAAGAAAGCTACTTTGAATTGATTAATCTGAATGCATGCCACTATTAGTACCGTAATTGCATTGGATCCATAATTTAGAAGCTAACGGATTACCTTCTCGTTCTTATAAACTAATGCCCTATCATTTACTGAATAGAGCTGTGATATTTCACTCAGTAATTTATTCACTTTTTCCCTGCGCCATTTTTTTGTTGGTATTATTCGGGGTCATCTTAGACGTTAGCTTTTTTTAATTTGCACGTGTAAAACAGCACGAAGTCAAATGGAGACTTAAGTAAATTTTCATGACAAGTGTCTGTCATCTGTTTAGTATTTAGGCAGATAACTAATATAAAATTGCAACATATCTTGATATTCCCTAATCCAATTTACGTGGCCCGATTATCACGAATTTGATCCATCAATAAATTAGTTACTTTGTTACGAACTACAATTACTTACAAACCACCGAAGTGCTTATTAGATGATGGATAGATCACCCTCTATTTAGGTTGATTTCTCGTTGATTCTGGCCTCGCTGCTGCATGCGTAATGATAAGAAGACTAGTTTCAGTCAGTGATCAAAGTTTTTATACATAGTTTGGGTTTTATCCATATATGTGAAGTATAAGTTGTTTAACACAAACACTTCAACCAAACTGTAACCATTCGTCAAAAGATCACCAAACTTACAACCACACAATGCCAATTCTTGAATCGAATATATATGTGGGTGTTGAGGGTCCAGGATTCCCCAAGCTGACTCATCGCCGGTTTTCGTTGTTGTTTATACTAGTCCCCTAATCACGCCACGTCACTGGGTGAGTCTGTAGTGGCTTGTAATCCAAGCCATAGCTTACAACCCTCTAGCTAACAGCCCGTAACAGCCCTAGAAAAGTTAAAAAAGAGGCAAAAGAGGACGGGACCGTTTATTAGCGTCACGCCAGTCAAGTGTCTTAGTGTGTGGACGAGTGAACGGATGACAGGCATGTGATACAGTCGCGAATGAAAAGGGGATGAGTCATTGTCACTGTCAGTTCGGTGACCAGGGTTCACTCAGGCGCGATCGCTGTTAATCCATTACAAGTCACCCATGGCAGCCTAGTGAAAATCCCACCTGTGTTAATCGGCTTGCATCTGTCAGGTCAAGGTCACACTTAACTGATAAAATGTTGACATTGTGGCAGATAATTCGGCCTTTGGCTGAGACGATAAAGGCTTTCTACACGAGATCATGTTTTGTTTTGCTTTAACTTGAAAAGTCGGTTCAAGCATCAGACAAGGGATCTGGGTACCAGTTATCGGAGTGGGTATTTTCATGATTTGGGCAAACGTAACAGAAGAGCTTAAGCTAGTGGAGCTGCCGCTACAGACATATTAAATGGCTTTCGACGATTCTCAACTGGAAGAACTTTGGTAAGGATTTTCCATATGACACGAAAATTCGATTGGCAAAAACGGATAGTGAATGATTAAAATTAGCACTTGCTCTCACAACAAAGCATGTCCAGCAGGAGTCTTCAAAAGAATAAAGGTGTGACACCAACGATAAATTATGCGCGCGAGCAATCGCGACCCTACTATTTTAAACATTGTGATTTATAAAGGGACTTGATTTTTGACGTAGTCAAAGTCTGATATATGTTATTACTTAAAATTAATGAATACATGAGATTTAGTCCATAAAAGTAATAGCTAAAGCTTGGATCATGACTAATGTAAGCTGGTTTTGATTCATTAAAGTGCTGTTATCTCAACGTTTTCATAATATTCTGAAAAAAGGAAGAAAAATAAAAGACAATATTATGGCGAGCCCTGTGAGCTTTGACTGCCTATGAATCATACGTTAGTTAAAAAATACATGTTCAAGGTTATGAGGACAATCTAAACTCCTGCTAAACATGTGTTAATTTGTCCACACATTATTCTAATTTTTCAAAAGATGTAGCAATATATAACATCAGTGTGACTTTATTAAATTTTCAATTTTTTTAGACTGCGAGGTGTCATACTTTACATAGATGTAATGCTTTCCAAAATGGCGATTTTCGTGCACATATATTTAATATTTGGATTTGAATTCGTGGATAAAATAAACTAATTCATGAATACATATTACTAGGTGACCTGTTTTTAAAACTAAAATAAAAAAATATCGGTTAGGTAAAAACATTAGGATTAGTTAGGACTTTGTATGCTAATTATTGTTAATATCTTTGTTTGAATTGTTTGTGGGCTTGTTGTGAGGTTTCGGTTTTGTTGTCTTGAGCCATATTGAGATCTGTTTTCATGTGAGTTTTTTGAACCTCTCTTGATTTTGATATTTTGTGAAGTGAATTATCATGGCCTCTAATCATGTTCATTCTATTCCATCAACATGGTATAGTCGTTCACATATGTGGTACTTGGCTACTGAAATAAATTAGTAGACGACCTCTAACTCCATGCATGCGTTTTCTTTCAATTTTCTATTTATCGGATGCACTTTATCTTTTTTGTCTGGATTTTTGCCAAACTCCTAATTGTCACAACCAGATGGTGAGAATTAGATGTGCGTGTGACATATTCCTCTGAACATGTCCTTTCTAGTCTTGTCATCGGTTTTAATTCACTGATGAGCGTGGGTTCCTGGCTCCATGCACTCCTTACGTTTGACACGGGATGATGCCCTTTGGGTCAAGAAGAATCTGCTTGAATACCCGCTTTGTTTCATTGAATTTCCCGTGGTTGTGGCTCCTGAGGCTCTTGTTTCCGTGCATGATTAATTGATGTAGTCAGTACACCAAGAGACGACAAGAGTAGTAGGTCTTATTTAAGTATTCGTCAATTTTTGAATTTTTTTGTTTGCCACAGCCGTGTAAGTCCGTTTTGTCCTGAGGTTGCCCTTTGACGCTTAGTTTCCTTTTCGTTTAAGTTGAATGTGTCTAAGATCAAGTAACGATCATGAGCATGCCCAGACTGTTGGGATCGCCACTCAAATTTTCTGAGGAACTAACTCCAATTCCAATGCATTTCGGAAATTTCGGTTCTGTTGTTAACCCTCTCCCGGTTTCTGTACTATTCATTCACCATGCTCATTTTGACGAGGTCGAATCCAAAACAATACTTCCAGGTTTATACATACGCTGTAGAGGAAACTTGAACTTAACTGTGAACTATGTTATTGCTTTGTAGTGTATCGTAAATGGAATCGCTACCTACCAAACCAGAGGCCTTGGAGTCGACTGTTGGCGATCATCCCACAAACTCACCAACACCGCGTAGACGTGGCCGTCCTAGGACGTCCTCATCAGTCAGCGTAAGCGCCGCAAAACGTCGACGGGATTCTTCGGTCGTCAAGTCTCATCGTGGTGGTAATCGAGGGGGCGGAAAAAGTAGTGGCCGGGGACGTGGTCGAGGCACCGCTAGGACCAAAGCTGCGAAGTCTGCTGTCGGAGAAAATGACGAGGCGGCAGAAGATTTCACCGTTCTCGCTGCTTCAGCTCTCGACTATGCTGAAGATTCCTCAGCCCCTGAGGATGACGATGACGTCGACGACGCTGGTAGCGACTATGTTCCTGAAGGGGGGGAAGCTGATCATAATGATGGGGATGATGATGATGATGATGAAGAAGAAGAATTATATGATCCGGAAGAGGACGAGGAGTATGGAGGAAGTTCATCACGAAAGCGTCGTCGTACGAAAAAATCAGGTGGTCTAGCTACGAATCAAGAGGATGATGAATTTGACATCAGTGATTATGAGGATGATGATGACGGCATGCAAGAAAGCCGTGTACATTTGATGAACGAAGTATGTGCAATGCAGGGTTCAGGGAAACGCGATAAACCAATGAGTCTATTCTCAGACATAGCTGCGGCTGCTGTTGCAGCGGCAGCTGCAAATACTAGTGGTGATGGTGCCGAAAAAGATATCTATGACTTTGACGCTCAAAGTATTGCTTCGGACAAGCGGTTCAAAAAGATGCGCCAGGCAGCCGCTGCACGACAGGCGCGTAAATCAGCTGGTGTCGGTAGTAGCTCTGCTCGCGGGCGACCAGTCCGCCCGGCAACTCACGTCGGTGCGAGTTGGGGATCTAATATATACAGTGCGCTCGCAACTTCCCTTAAAACTCGAGCAGATCTTGATGTTTACACTAATTTTCTCAAATGCCCGTATCTGAACAATTTCCTAGATTCTATGTTTGTTGATATGTGTCGCCCAAGTAACCAACATATGGGGCTGTTTTTTGGTCCCTCCGCGAGCTTACAGAGCCTCATGGGTCGTGTCAATGACCCAGATCGGGTGGTGGAATTGCTTCACGCATTTATGTCTAAGTCTTACGACGCATTGGCGAATCGTATCGTCTGGTTTGCGCCGATAATTCACCAACAACCCGTTCCTCTTTCAAACATGTCCTCATTTGATGATCGGTTATCTGCCCTATCAGAAAGCCTCGATCCAGAGATGAGAATCGAACCTGCCTATATACTTGAGGGAAACCTCAATGTACTTGTACAGACGGGTGCACCATTCACTGACCTAGAGGTCTCTCTTATTCAGCACACTGCAATCAATAGTGCTGGTCATATGGGTCGCTTTATGACCGATGTGCATCAGATTGTGCTGTCTAACGATTTCTGGGACCAATTGAACGATCTAGTTGCTCTTCCTTACGAAAAGATCATAAGCTACGCTGAAAGAAGCACTACAGCCACAGATGGGGATGCTTCAGTCAATCTCGAAGCAATCGAACCACCATGTCTACATAGGATCATCGCTGCTGTGAATAGTGAAAACAAGCTACTGGGCATAGCATCGACAGATACGTGGGATCGCACTAATGTTCCACTATCTCGAAAGCGCCGAACACTGACCTTTGAAAATCTTCAAAGGGGTTCCCTTCAGCTATCTGAGGTTGATCGTTCGTCCCTGGTTAACGACGAGCTCCCTATTGAGCTAGATACCTATGGGGTCCTCGAGCATGTCATTGATGATGTTGCAAAGATGCGTGCTCATGAAGAGGAATCTGCAGAATCGTCGTCTCGCACTTCGCCAGAAATTGGCCGCATCCATTTAATGGACTGCTTTTTGTTGAAACCAAACAGCCGAAAAGACGCACTAATCTTAGTGTGCTACGAGTCTAGCGCCAGCCCCCCGATGCCGAATCCAAGTCCCGTTGGATGCAGCCCCTTCAAGGTGTACTCACTCGTTAGCGAAGAGAATTTCTTTTTTTCTCGCTTTGGTATCACTTCAGATTCCCCTGCTCTAATGGATGGCATGTTTACCGCTGACCCTGAGGCCATAGTAGAACGCAAATCCGTAGTCATCGTACCTGACCTAGTATTTAATAGCTTGCGCTCAATTGCTCTTCGTGAAGTTGTTGCGTCGAGCGGTACAGCTATCGTCAACGCTGTGCTAACAAATATAAACACTACCGTAGAGGCACCTAGCCTCTACCGGTGTTCTAAATTTATTCTTGTTGATAGTCAACGCCGTGTACCATTGGCAATTGTCTTTGAGGTGCCGATTCGTTTGTCTTGGACAACAGATGCTACTGAATGTGCTGTGCATTCTCTCGATACCGCATCTTTAAACGCGAAGTTTGGTTCAGTTACTGTGGAATCTTTGAAAGCGGCGGAACGGAAATTCTCTTCAAAGATTACCGAGTGTCGTTTGGTGGTTATCAATGGCCTTCTTTACGCTCTGCAGGTAGACGAGAACCGAGTTCTTCAGCGGATAGTAGAGTTACTCCCTGCAGGCTATGGGAACGTGACAGGTCACCCGGACCACATTTCATTGGCACCCCAAGCTGTCACCGGCGATGCCCGCGCCTGTTCTGCATTTCTTCGTATCTTTAATGAAGAAAGCTCTACTTCCTCTGTGTTCCCCGCTGTATATTTGCCCCACTTCGGTCAGCAGACTCTCGTAGATCAAGTAACCAGCTTCTGCGACGAGTTAGTGGATCATATTTATACCAGTCCCCTGTCATTCTCCTTGTACGATGTTGTTTTCCGGATGGCTCTCAAACATACCCCCAAAATGTTAGCAAGACAGCACCACGAGGCGGCTGAGGCTGCTGCAGCTGCGTCGGCAGCGGCGAATCCAGACGATCCTCCTCCTCCACCAGTCCCTATGCCCGAACATTGGGGCGTCTGTTCAATTTGCTCGAAAGAACTTCATTCTGTCAGTGGCCTTCTAGAGCACGAACTGCGTCATATCGGACTGACCAAATTCCGCTGCCCTGAACATGGTCGCTGTTTTATGGATCGGCGTGCGCTGGTTACCCACATGCAGGAACACGCCGGTGGTGTGATAAAGCCTGATGATGATGATGATGGTGGCTTTAATGAAACAATGGTGGGGGAAGAAGAAATTAAATTCATCCCTGGCCTAACGAATGTTTTCGCCAAAAGTTCCCTTCTCTCTGGTCGTATGGAATCACCCCAGTGTGATAATTGTCATGATTTTTTCCCTACTGCGGACGTTATGGCGCAGCATTTGGAAATTTGTGATGGCATTTCTTTTAGTAATCGCAGTCCCATTGAGCAGACATCTGATTCTGTTCCTGTTACGGTGATGAAAGACGGGGAGAAATCAGTTTGCGGCATATGTGGACAAGCAGTGGATGAGATTAAACAACACTTCACCGACGTACATTTAACGTGTGTGCTGTGCCGTGCTCAACTGCACACCATAGAAGAGCTCTCTTACCACTACAAAGTTCACGTAGAGAGCAGCGGCACCACACATCCAGAGACTTCAAGCAAGCTTAACGAGGTGTCTACTTGTGAAACCTGCTTAAATTTCTATAGCTCCAAGCACAATTATTATTTCCACCAGTGGGCCGAACATGGTGTTATATTCAAGCAAAACCCATCCACAGGTGCCCTTGGTCCTGTGCAGGTTCGTGAACCCCGTAATAAGCAAGTTGATGATGAGGCTCTGACGAAATTGAAGTGCAAGTTCTGCCAGTTTGTCTGTCCGTGCCCCGGCAAACAGTATGTTGATCATCTTCAATCTGCACATGACATCATCACTGATGTCGCGCTTGTGTGTCGCTTCTGTGCGGCGATATTTCCCAATCCTGAAAACTTGTCCAACCACCTCCAGTCGTCACACGCTCCTCTGTCAGATTATAACAATGCTGGGCCACAGACCGTCTACAGGTGTGATATGTGTGCTGACACGCCATTTTATTCTTTCCACAAGGGCATGTTGGACCATGCTCGTGAGGTGCATAACACTCTTACACCAAACATGTACGAGTGCCCCCATTGCCGTGAGCGCTTTTCTGACCGACGGATCTACAGACAGCATCTTGAGAAACACGCCGAAGGTGTGTTGCATCCCTGTACTGAGTGTGGTAAGGAGTTCCGCTCGAAACAGGCTCTGATGCACCACATTCAAATGCGTCATGACTCGGAGTGGGACCAAGGGCCAGCTACGTGTGAGCACTGTGGAATAACGTATCCGAAACGCTCAGCTCTAAAATATCACATTGCTAGGATGCACAATCTAGTAAGTGTTTGTTTTGCTATTGCTTCCTGTATCAATACAGTATTGAAGTGAACTCCAATAATTTTCGGCTTACTTTCACTTTGCGTCATTTATTAGGTGTCGCTTTAGGAGGGTAATTAGCATTCGATTTCCGTATTTGATGTCCGTGTTTTGGCTTCTAGTGCGTTGCGAGGATGGATTTTTTAAAGGGCTTGACTCGACTTGATATGTTGTCTTGACTGGCAATTTTGGTTAATGTGTTTTGGTGATTACGCTACACTCGTCAGTGTAGCATCGTTGTGTTCAACTACGTTGATTTTGTCCTTAGTACTTATTCTTAACTTATTTCATTAATCAAGAGTTTAATTTTAATCTAATTTTGTCTAGGAATTACTTCATGAATGCCCTGTTTGCCAACAACGTTTTCGTATTGAGACGTACTTGCGCCGCCACATGAAGGAGACGCATAGTGGTCCCATCAAATGCGAAATCTGCCAGAAGCAATGCGCTAACCTCCGTTGTTATTCGCAACATCGTCAGAAGCACTTTAGAGACAAAATCTTCCAGTGTACTGAATGCTCAGTGTCTTTCAAGAGCAAAACCGCGATGCGTCGTCACGTTCGTGTGGAACACATGCAGCTTGGTCCGGAGAAGTTTGAGTGTCAAATCTGTGGCAAGGTTTGTTCTTATTTCTCTTCAACTTCTTTGCAATTCCTTTGACCCCTTCTACTATGGCTTTCCTTTTGTCTCTCCATTACATCTGATTCCCACTATCATATTTCCTACATTTATTTCGTGTAGATTGTTACTCAAATTGGAATGCACATGCTGACGCACAAGGATGCACGTTTCAAGTGTATCTATTGCGACAAGCAATTCACCAAATCAGTCTACTATAATGAACACGTTCGCATCCATTTGGGTCAACTGCCTTTCGAATGTCATATTTGTGGGCGTCGCTTCAACAAGAAGTCAAACCTCAATGTTCACCTCAAATTCCACGAAAAGCACCGTGATGAGGATGGGAACGTAAGTTGTTATTCCGACCATTTTTGTTTCTTAAAAATAGAACGGCTAAACCTAGTGAATCAGCTAAATTAGGCTTGATCTGGAGTCGCTTTTCACTTTGCTGGTCTTTAGCCTTATCAAGCCTGATGTCTTTTACAGACGATTAATGTGGACATTTTTTTCAATGCCTTAATGAGAATGCTACTTTAGAATAGGTTATATAGCAGTTATAATATTACGCTTTGTTGATAACAGCGAAAGTAAACTGTATATGTATTAAATTCTGTTTAGTGCATGATTTGTTAAGCTTAGTGACACTATAGTGAAGGAAATCCTCAAAATATTTCCCGATCAATCTTAGAAACTAATGCTTGTAAGATTAGTATTACAACCAATTAAAAGTACAGCGAAGTTTTTAGTCTGGTATTACTACTCCTGATAAACTGAAGGTTATAGTGCCTTTCGCCAGTTACTCCATCACTTCAAACACAAATTTACACTCGAGACCATGTGCTAGAGGCGATTTTGAACTGAGATCAAATTCTCAAAATGCGATTGATAGTCAAGGTACTTGATTCCCAGAGATTTCCGAAAATACTGAGCATTAATCGGGTAATTGGTGTCCATTGAACAACGAAAAATGTCCTGTGAAGATTGCACGGACGCGGTGTTCTCGAATGTTAGTTTTTTGTGCCATAGTTTAGTGACGTTCATCTACGCCAAAAATAGCTAGCGGTAAATGCTGCTAGTGTGACTGGCTTTTACTATTCCCGTGTTCCCTTTAATTTCAGTACTTACAACTGAAAGCTCGTGGACGTGTAAGTATTATGTTTGGAGATGCAAACCTGACACCAGAGGAACGCGCGGCGAAGAATGCTGCACTGAAGAACAGGTCGAATAAGCCCACGCAAAGCGTCGCTGTCGGTCCCGACCTCCCGGGGGCCTTTAATGTGGGCGGGCCTGCTGGATCGGCCTCGGATGCCTGTGCCAAGGCCTGTGGTGGGCACCTGGCCGATGTCGTCGGGCTGCGACCTCTCACTAGTCAACCCGTGTTTCCTTCAAACGGCGAGTCGAAACCCCACACATGATTCGCATCCCTTCACCTTTTCCTCACTGACTAAAAGTGAGATGTGTTCTACTTTTGTGTTTGGCTTACTCTAATTAGGGAGTATCTAGCATTGGGTACCAAGGCCATCAAGATCGTTGTTTCAAGATAATTTCCTTGTCCGGAAGCGCTAACTTGTGATAGACAAGGTTTTCTACCCGCGGCGCACATCCCGAGACACCATGTTCGTCTTCACATTTGCTAAAAAGCCCTTTTTACCTTATAAGGGATCTTTGTGCTGGCAAACCACCAGGTCATTCTCCAATCTTATTCGACTAGTGTAACATCGTACTTTGTCCTCACGATTTTCATAGGGACAACGCAACGTACACTGCGACAACTCTTTGCCAAGCCTGGGAAAACGACCGATTCGCATACTTGAAATGGCCTTTTTTGTTTTAATTGCTGACATCAGCTTCGATTCACTACCCACTTTGATGACTACTTGCTATTTATTCGTCTATATGTCAAATTGTTTTTTTTTTCTCTTTCAGGTCGCTTTGTCTCTTCGTGGGTGTTGATCTTAGCCTTTGTCTTGTGTGTACATACCGCGACCTCTCGCCAATCCAATCGGAACAATCTATTTCATTATTTAAATGCCTAATCAGTCCTCCCTCTTTCATGTCAATTTGATTGAATGTATCCTCCAACACAATGCATGTAATTTCGTTTGCACAGGCAGTACTTCAGTCTTACCCTATATTGTAAATAGCTGGACGCCGATTCCCCAATTTTACGGTACCTGTCGGAACGCTGGTTTCCTGTAGTATCCGTTTAGGGGGTCGACGTCGCCTGTTCACAATTCTGGTTGCTTTGAAATAAATGTATGTACATGACAATTAGCTGCATCTAGCGGACTTGATTTCTTCATCAGTGGATATCTATAAATTTAGATGGTGTCCGGCGAAGTGGCACTCCGGAGGGGCCTTTGGGTTTGCGAAGTGTCGGGTGTGCACGACCCAAAACGGCTAATAATGTGACGTTGCTACGCACCAGATGGCGTTGGTAGGTGGTGCACCAAAGCAGCGACCATGGTCGAACTATAATTTGGTCGAGTCGGCATCGAAGCACGGTCCACTCTACCGCCAACTAGAAGTTCCATTTATATCGCAAAATTTTGCACCTTTGTGTTGGACAAAGGTGCCCTTCCGCTCAGAATTTGTTTCCAAAGACATCATGCATTTGCATTAGGTGTAAAAGCATGTGTAGGGTACAAATTGTCGGTTCAAGCCCACGCAATTCGGTATTTGAATGAAAAAAAAAATTCGTAGCGAAAGGACGTTTACTTGGAAGTAAATACACACAGACAAATTTGCAGGCATCGGCGTTTTGGTCAATAAAGTTGACATTTGGCAAAGACATGATGAGCAAACGCACGCGAGTGGCTGAACGGGATGCATGTCCCGCAGAAATCAACAGTGGCACAAGTGGCGGTATACCATGGGGTCTAGTAACCGAGGTAGTAGTAAGCAACACCGACAACGCGTCGCTGAATATATGCATTGATAGGAAGGTTCGAAAAGGCAGTGAAGAGAGGGGCAAAAAGAAGACGCATAATAGCAGTGAATTGCTCCAGGAGCTCAAATGCTTGTTACAAGGAAGATGAGAGTGGCAACTGAAAGACCTGAGCATCTCGCGTGCAGGCTCCAAGTCATGAGAATGCAGATTCAAGGGAACCACAGCCTTGCTTATGAAGTGGAAATCCAAATGCTTTGGGGGGAGGGGAAGTTGGTCGCGCGAAGGATTGATGACCAAACGAAAGACGGTTTCTAAATGGTTGTTCACTAACAGCTAGGGCCCTTCGCGCGCTCCAGTCAAATGCTAAAGTGCGCACGTGCTACGTAAAATGAATGTGTGTGTGTGTGTGTGTGTGACTAGCATTTTATCCACACATCGTGTATCAAACAGGAATGATTGAAATATTGGTGGCAGCAGGAACTGGCATGTGATAACTATAAAAGCACTGACGCGGCATAACCACTGAAGAGAGGAGCCGACATTACAATGTGGCGACAACGGTGTGTGAGCAAGAGTTTTGGCTGTAGAAGGGTTCTGTTGTTTCTAAAGGCGCAAACGCATCACCGTAAAGGATTGGAAGTACTTGAAGGAGCCTGAAAAAAAAAGGAAAAGGATGAAGGCGACTGACAAAACTGCTCACATTTTTTGTCTTTAAGGATTGTTTCAGTTCAGTCATCAGAGGAACCAAGCATTACAAAGTACAAAAACAGCAGATTACATTGCATAGCTAGCAACCTATGTCCTTACAAAGTGTATCCCTTAAATTTGTGACGCTTACCTCTATTTTCCTGCGGCCATCGCATCCATGAGGAGAACTTGAGCGTAGCGCTCTGCAATGGGATCTACGGCGACTGTGGAGCTACCACCGACACCCAAATGAAAAGCCGCCTCCATCGCAGTTTCGGAGGAGATAAAACGAGCCAGGCACATGCAACGACTCTCTAGATTGTGGAATTGTAGAAAACCCGGCATCTGTGATAACATGGATTCAAACGCAGCAGTTGCCGTCGGAGGACAACGAATCAGCAGCCAGCCGTCGCCACCACGTGGGTTTCGAAAACCGTTCAGTGGGGGCTTGTAGCCGGAACGGGGAGAGGCTGTAAGGAAGCTACATTTAGCCACAAGTTCACGCACTCATTCAAAAAAGCAAGCATCAATGAAATTTTGGGCGGATGCCTTGGTAATGACCTGGATTAAAAATGTAAGTGCACCTCGCCGTTAAAAGTTCAAATTGACTAATATCTAGGCTAATACTTTATGCAAAAAAAAACATTTAGCAGTAGTGCAGTCCATGATTGGACCTTAAACACGTGAATCTGAATAATTCGACTGTGCATCCAACAAACACACCTCATGGAAAATTAACCTTAACTGTGATTATGAATACTTCCGGAAACCGATGAAAATTAAATCCACTGGAGTAAACACATCAGCGACCTGAAATTTTAACTTGCTCAGCGTATTAAGCAACGGAGCGTCATAAAGTCCACAAACAAATCAATAAACATGAAATCGTGCTAAGGTTGAATCGGTTTTATAAATGAATATATCTGAGAAAACTGCGGAAAGATATGCAGCATTCAAATTATCTACAGTAGACTTGCGGTTGTTAACTAGGATACCTCTGATATGATGTTATCGTTTTACAAGTGAACCCAAAAAAGTACATGTTAATTTGCTAAAGCAGATTTCCAGAAAGAGAGTAAAATTCGGAAGACAACTTGAACACAATATGCTTGCAATGCTGATGAAATGCAATTTTACTGGAATCGTGCAAACTAAATAACATGTGCGATATTTTTAAACAAGACAAATCACATAAAAAGGGAGCATTAGTAGGTAATTAAATCAACTAAAAATACCGAGGCTTGGTTGTCACGTGTACAAATAATAGCCACAGTGGCGCCATCCCTCGTGGGGCTTTCAAGGCCACAATTTCGAAATTTTCACGACAAAGAACGCATTAGATGTGGTGATATGAAGAAAGATTTAAGAAACAAACACGTCCTGAGGCCAAACTGATTTGAAGTAATTTAACATATTTACACGAGGATATGGAAATCGTCCAGTGTAAAGATTCAATACATTTCAAAAGGCCAGACAACAGAAAATGCACGACGGAAATAGAAACTACGCTGGGCTTGGCCATCAAACAGCCATTGTTGTAAAGAAAACAAGCATTTGAAGAGCCAGACTTTGCTAGAAGGGTTAAAGTTGGGTATTTCGGGAAAGATTTACAATCCGAGCAAGATGGTATTTAGGGACCTAAAAAGCAAATCCTCATAATAGCTCATAATCCTATGCAGCCACCGGATGTTTTTTTCAATTAAAGATTGATTCGGCTTGCCGCCCGTGTACACTGACACTCCAAGACAAGTCCCCCATTTATCTGGTGAAATTCTTTAGTAGAAAATAGCACCTCAATGAGTTCAGACAAGCGCTACGCTAGACACCTGGAGTAAATACAACGTAAATTTCTTCTGAGATGCCGGGCTGATATTTAGCAGATTTAAAAAGGTATTTAACCGGAATGCAAGCACATCCCTTTATAATAAAGACAACTTGTCTTTGATCTAAAATGATTCTTAGATCATTAAAGAATCATTTTTGACAGGAGTTGCAACATGTGATGTTATAAAGGTTTGTGTTGGCTTAAATCGGACCCCTTTCCTGAAAAAAAAATTGCACAGCAAGTAATCAAAAAATTGGGCAGCACCATACGACAAAAATTTACTCAACACACATTTCACTTAATCACAATAATAAACTTTTCTTCTATATCCGTTGTTCGTAGGGTTAGGTAGGTCTCAGACGGTTGAATTTGCATCAATTTCAGGCTGTAATGTGGTGTGCTAATAAAGTCAGGGAATTTCGAGTCGTTTTAGATTATAAGCAGGTAGAGGAAGGGCACATTTTGACTAATACAGAAATTGCTCCATTAAACACTTTTCCCGCTGTGTTTAATACAAATGCAGGCTTCCAATAACGACCTGTGAGACTCGGGAGAATTTTGGTTTGGTACATCATACCACGCACTAATGTGCCGTGCAAGTTTATTTAACTGGAATACTTTGCACCTCAGAAAGTGGACTGAATATCAAGAATGCTGATGGGGCTGAAAGTTCGTGATAACATCTAAAGCTAATTGAGTCACAGACAGAGAAAACGTAGAGGGTGAAACACTTACGCGGATTGTTGTTGCACGGAGAGCCGCCACCACCACCACCGCCGCCAAGAATCCGCATGTCGTGGAGGCGCTGGTTAAGGGAGGCGGAGTTGAAGGAGCGCCCATCATCGTCGGCGCCGGGGGCGTCAACGACTCCACACAAGGCAGCTGATGAATAGCCAGCGGCCTCTTTGGCACAGATTTGAGATTCAACGTGTTGTAATTGGGCAGATAACTCGTTGAGAAGAGCTGTGTACTGTGGTTGTGAGCAGAGAGCCGCGTTATTGCGGTATAATTGCATCTGTCGCACAATTTCCTGGCCAGTGGAAAGAGGAATGAGTGTACACACAAACCAGACTAATACGTTGCACTTAAAGACACTTAAAGACAGTGCCATGAACAGACACTTGTCCCATTAGGCATAGTTCTCATTTCAGCCCGGGTAAGCTACAAAAAGATCAAGCAAACAAGCCTTGCCAACGAAGCAACGATTACAAACGATTTCCACTGTTCCAATACAATAAGTAGTGTCTTACACACAAAGTTGGACATGGGCAGGAATTACTCACCTGTCTTTTCTTCTGTAGATCTGCAACACCCGGAAAAACGGAGGGGTTGGCTGTGGGCGACGGTGGCCAGTGACCAACGCGTCCACGGATGGCAGCGGTGTTGGAGGAAGCGGACGGCGTGTTCTCCTGAGGTGGTGGCAAACCCAGAAGGGATGAGTAGTGAGACAGTGAGAAAGAATCCTGCCCCAGCCCGGGCATTTTGCCGTTGTTGAGGGCTGTGAAAGAATGCGAACTCACTGGCATGCCTTTGCAGCCGCCGGTAGAGGGGCGAACCTGAATAATGCCAAATAAACGATTGTGGGGGGAAACAATAATGGCGTTTTTTAAGGTAATAAAAGCATGTAGCTCACGTAGATAACGTTAGTGATCAGTGATGTAATGAGTTTGAAGTGATTGTGAACAGCAAAATCAATCAATGATTAGGGTGTCGGATTTCTGTTAAACGAGCATTATTTGTTTAAATGAGTGAACGAAAACAAGAATATTTAGTTCAACTTTTTAACCCTCAAATTTCTAGCAAGCACTAAACACTGCACTTTAATTCCACGTTAGGATCATTTTGTTAGCTAAATTGCGACATTCACCCAACAGGTTCTACTCGCCTAAATTCGAGACAATTTCATGTAGAGTGCTACTTAATAACCCAGACAAATTTCGAAAAGATATGTAAATGAAAGGCTGACAAAAATTGTCGCAAAAGTTCTGTACGGGCTTACGGTTCAGGAACAAGAGAGCCCTCAACATAATACCGTTCGATTGTGGGGTTCTACCGATATTCCTAGATTCTAAGACATTCCCATTTGAACGAAGATATTACTACCAAAGTTTACAGACAAGACACAGGTTCCTGGAAATTATTTTTCCAACTACAAGCTGCAAGTGAATGAAGGGAAATCACATAACCATACTTTTATAGGGAGTATTTAAGAAAATCATTTTCATTTGTAGTATTAAGACTTTCAAAAGCATAGCGAGTGATGGGTTTTAATCTTGAGGGAATAGAAAAAAGCTCATTTCGGTGAGCAAAGGGATTTGCCAAGACACTATATTGACCAAAAAGGGGCAAAACGAATACCTAGATTAAGGCAAAAACACGAAACTCACCGGTAGTCCCGAAACACTACGTCCAAACACAGGAGGCGGTCCAATTTGTCCAGAAGATGACAACGTTCTGTGAGAAAGTGGAGGACGGAATATTCCCGTGCCACGGTAACGCTGTCGCAGTAACGCCAACGATCGATCAATGTCCATATTGCACTCGATGAGGACAGCCTGAACTTCCTCTTTGCGGTATCCCAGTTGGACGAAATAACGAACGAGATCAGCTCGATATGTGTGGCTGTAGGGGTGAACCCCTGGCGTGGTGGACTATTAAAGAGACAAGGAACATGAAGTTTTGGTGATCGGACAAAGCCGTTAAATTTTCGACTTTCAGATTGACATTTTCAACGTTTATTGTGCGATTTTAGCCAGCGATTTCGATTACGGTGCGTAAAAATAAACGCCAAATACTTGAGACGTAGATACTTGGAATCTACATACGTTAAACATTTGAACTAGCTCCCAATCTCACTCATCATGTGAGTCCAAGAGCAGAGAGCCCTATTTGCACACAAAAAGTATAAGGATAACTGAAGCAATAGGGTTTTGACAAATATTGCGGCGGGTCATTGCGGATTTTGATAAGAATTAGTCCCTTTAGTGCTTACCTTTTGAAAGTTAAGTGTAATGGAAAAATCACGAAGTAGAGCTCGATTTGCCAGTTCCCATAATGGGAAAAGAAAATCAGTGGGCCTATCTCGCGTCTATCTCAAAACAATTAAGTGATCGACACCGATTGTTGCATTAAATACCGGAAATTTAAACATCGGAAGTCGACATTTGTACGTGTAATGTTAGGACCACTGTGTGTTACGCACAGAGCGCTGCGTGTTAAGAGAAATCAACCATGAACAGGATTCACTAAGGAATGATGGACTGCCTGCAACTTACCCCACAGCTATCTGAATTTTGCGGCTGCTGGTCCGAGTCGTCGGATGCAGGAAAAAAGGGCCCTGATCTACTGACAGCAACGGACATCCAGGTTGTCTTATCATTACTATCGATGGGCGGCCAACCCGTTCCGCCAGACCAGTTCGTATCCACGCAAAGTCTACTTTCATCTGACGGCCGACTTGAAGAGGATCCACCCAAAACTGGCCGGCGAAACGCCGACGCGAAAGTATTCGCTACGGAACTGTCAAAATGTGACAACGGAGGCGCCACGTGACCCTGGAGTCTTCCACCTACAAATTTTGCGGGATATTATTTTGCAAGTGTAGCAATCAAATAGTATCGTCCACTTACAGATGGGCTATCAATAGCACAAGCTAGCATCTGGAGTCAGTATAGGTGGCCTTCCTAGTACAGGCTCCGGAGCAGTGGAATTAGTCAAGTGAGGCTTGTTTGAATTTAATGACTAAAAGCGAAACACAGGTTTTACTTCCACGTGCAAACACAACATGGAGGAATTACTTCGCACAAGACCATGGTGAAATACCTTAGCCTTTTTTAGAAACAATAAACTTCTTAATAGGACCATTACTTGTGGGTTGAATTTGGAGCGACCACAAAAACCTACGGATACAGAATTGCCTAGCATTTGTTTGTTGAGATGCCAAACATCACTGGTTGCCCAACAAAGATGAAGTCGGTGGAAGGACAGAGAGTCAATCGTTTATCCGAGAACTTGACGAAGCCGTGGTGGTTTGTGGGGTTTGCGCGTGTATATTTATAGCTCGGATGTGTGAGTCATAACTGCGCTAACATCGAGACCTAGACGTGGAGATACTCCAAGATAAATAGTCGTGTGAATGAAGAGGGAGTTGAGGATTCGAGCGGCTGGCGCCATGCTGCGAAAAAGGCGAACCTTGTGTCGGAGGCGGAGCGTTCGGATCAATGGGTTGAATAAACACGATTCACGACATATGTTTGAGAACGAACTTTAGTTCATGGAGTAAGACGATGGTAGTTAAAAATGGCATGTAAAACGGCCAAAGGCACCAGATTGTTGCAAGATGCAGACTAAAGGGAAATGACTTGTGCTGTTGGTTGGCAGTGGATTTCGTGATATTGCGGTCTCATATTACAGCAGCACGAGCGTTCCGCGCACTTTTTTACCTACATTTCAATTACCAATGCACTAAATGTTTGGTAAGTACAGAAGGAGCGTAAGTGGAATGGAAATAATGTTCGCAAGCTTGTTGAGCATCAACACACAAGACATTTGGGTGGCCATAAAGAATGCTTTGCTCACCATGACTCAGCACAGACGACATGAATTTTTAGCATATTAATATGGACTAATATCATGGGTCTAGTTGCATAATAACTTAGTGAGAGAAAACCACCAAGGCCATTGCCGGCAGAACTTACCAGCCCGATTGCCCCAAAATCCAAAGTCAGCACCACCACTTTGAGGCATTGGCTGTTGATGGATGAAAGGGCCGGCATTCAAAGGATGCGGTGATGAAGAAGAAGAAGGAGATGTGTTACGACCTCCAGATTGAGGAATTTCATGTTCCTGTTGTTGACAACGTGCAGTTTTGTTGGCCATTTGTTCGTAATGTAATTCCCAGATACCCGTCCCAGTTGGTGGCTCATTTGTCCAGACATTTGACTCTTGTTGGCGATTAGAGAGTTGATGGGAAGTAAGGAAAACAGGTACAAGTCCGTTATGTGCTCCATCAGTGGTTGATTCTTCCTCTCCCATCGCGGAGTCCCAGCGGGTTGACTGGTCGATGCCCCGCGAACCCCAACCCTCATTAGTATTAATCAGTTGGCTAATTATATCACTATGACCTTCGTTAGCAACTTTATCGACAACTGCAATAACAGGTTTATCATGTTGAATATTTCGCTGATCTTGGAATAATTCCTGAGTAGAAGAATGAGGCTGATTGGTGGAAAGCACTGAAGTCTCTGCAGCTACAGTTCCAGTGCGACCAGGCTCGGGATCAGATGGATTTGTGTTGCCAACTAAGTGGAACAAACACTGAGGTAAGGACGTGACAGATATTTAACTTAAAAGAAACAGTTTACCAACCTAGACGAGGATGAAAACTGTTCCAGGCCTCAAAATACTTACTTAAAGAACGTCGTTCCAACGTTGTCGCCCAAATATTTTGAAAGACATTATCACATGACGTGGTAGAAAGCACATCAGTGGGGTTTGTAGCATGGAAAGAAGCAGCCACTTGAGATTTGTTACTATCGTTTTCAAAAGTGTCATTCTGCCACGGACTTTTGGAAGACACTGACCAATCAACGCTTGTAACCCCCGAAGGGCTCCACAACTAAATTTAAGGTCAGAAAGCGGATTAAGTCTACCTTATTAAAGGGCCTTGCACTCCAAGAAAGTGATAGATCAGGAAATAATGACTCCGGAGGCAAGTCCTTGATGGAAGGGGTGGAGTTGTTGGCATCAAAATCAGGGGCTTCACGCCAAACAGACGCCATCGTTTTGTTAGACAGAAATTTGAAGCACTCTAAAACATGAAGTGAAGAAACTGCTACCAACCACCATCCTCACGACTCGAAACTTCGGGCCCACAGAAATCGTCGCCAGAATTTAACAAAGAGTTCCAGAATTCGGTTGACTTAGGTATGTTATTCATTGTGCCCGACGAAAACTAATGGCCAGAGCCGAGATTTATACATTAATGAGTAAAATAAAATCAAGGGCAAAGCAAAACGAAAAGGAGTATTTAAAGATGTGAGAAGGAATGTGCCTAAATTTTTGCATGAAATGTAGAAAGAAAAAGGCAAATGCAGTTTTAACAAAAGCACCTCTAAATAGGAATTGGGACAGGCATTTGAGAGGAATTACGAAGAAAAACTGAGAGAGGGAGAGAGCACTCCAGGAAGAAGAACGGACATTGGAAATGGAATTAACCACTGGATGTTATAAACAAAACCAAAGGTTGTACATTTGTTTACCTACTGACGAGCTCATTTTTAAAAAAAATTGCAAGATTTTGCTAATTAAGCAACAATCTTTTTAAATAATATCTGTCAGTTACTTAGCCAATGTTTTCTCAAAAAAAACGTGAAGTGGATAACATTACTTATATTCACTACATATACAATAGAACACTAACGGGAATTCAGTCAAAATCCTACTGCATTAAGAGATCCTACATTATTTTTTAGTTCTTAACTTCGCATAACATTAAGTTAAATCGTAAACTGTTTATCTGCCACCTAATTTTGCGTAGAATTTGTCATTGTAATATATAAATCTTTGCAATTTCTGCTAAAATGACAATTCAACTTTTTTTTATTAATCCGCTAGCATAACTTGATATATAAATAAGCCTCATACCTTTGTCAAATTTAATGAATATCCACAAAACTTACAGAGATTTAATAACGAATGAGAGTTGTTGCATTATAACTACTTATCAAATGCAAGGTTCTTTGAGATGCGAATTCGAAATTTGAAAAAAAAATCTTTATTAATATTTTGTTTTGTTTCCAAAAATTTCACCCCAACTTCATTCAAAAAAGTCTGTCTATCTTCCTTACATTTTAGACAATGTATTTTATAAGATTTTAATTCTACTTACTACAATTGAAATTTTAGGCTTTAAATAGTCTCCTGGACTTGGTCCCGATGTCACAAATAAATTTCTAAATCGTACGAATGCTTACTTGGAACTCTTTGATTTGAAGTCTTGATTATATTAATTTACAACCCTTGGAATATAACTCTCTGTTGTCGAGGGGAAGCTTTTATTTTCCTAATTTTTACCGAAGCTAGCTTACGCCTGTCTTTCCTTTAGGCTTTCAACCGAATGAACCAATGGACCGAAATGTCATTCGCATAAACCTTTATTTTTTGTTTCTGTTTATATATTTTGTGATAAACTGTCCGTCTTCCTACATTTTAGCTTAAAACATGTGAAGCTCAATTTGATTAGCGTGAGAGCATAGCGACAGCTTGCTCAATTTCTCCAATTTCCTACATGGTTTAAGTTTGTGCTGAGTAGCGTGCAAGGGTTATGAAGACTTCACAAGGCAAGACCTCTGGCAACTTTTAGCAATTAATGCCATCATACAACATATTCACAAGAATGTTATGGACACTCAACAAAGTAACATTGTGTCCCACACTTACGTGTCAGTGAACCTGATAACTCACCAGAAGAAAAAAGTTTTTAATGTCGCAACCTTAACGATTCTGTTGTATACCATTTGCTCCTCACACCACTGTCAAATTTATATGTGGTGGTATTTATTGGGTTCTCCCTTAGTGAGTAAATGGGGGGGTTTATTTTTGCAAATATGCAACCTGTGTTTTAAGATAAATCTCCGTCTCCTTATGGAGACTTTATAACTCAGATATCGTTAGCCTTTTTAGGTATTATTTACTGACGCGTCCTAATAATTCGTAGTCTTACATTACTGTTTTGCAAAATAACCAGACTTGCACATGTAAAAAAATACATTTTTAGACTACATCTGAAAGACCCTATTGCCATTAAATATTGAAATTAAAACTATCTGATAGTCAATAAAGTTAATATCAATCCAGTGGTATTTATTCAAGGGCTCATCATAAGTAAATCATTTGAGATTTTAGTCAAGCTCCCGACAAGTATCATCTTATTGTTACTGAAGACATTAGCAAAACTCCTTTTTTTAAGAATCAGACTAAGAAAATTTTACTCAAAATAATATGCTTTCTCCATCTTTGGCAAGAAAGAAAGAATTCCATTAGTCTCAAATTCCTTTAAGCTAACAACTCTTGATTTGCATTACATACCGTTCTTGGATTCGACATTTCTCCCAAACAACACCGGGACTACTGCGTTAGATTGACTCGTTTACTCTACTTTAATGTCCATGAAGATACAGACGACCGGAGATGGCGGAGACAAAATTGTTTACTAAATAGCTCAGCCAAGTTGTCGTTGTGCGGCATTTGCAGAATGTGAAACAGCGAGTTACAAATAAATGTAACCACACGTAGTGCTGATTCAAGACACACATCCTCGCTAATCCGGCGTGTGTTGAGGTTCCGCATGGCTGACGGCATAATGTGGAAAGGGGGAGCGGGTAAACGAACACGAATAAACGCAAATCACAAGGACGTGAACAATGCACGGATAGTGCCAAATGACTTTTGAAACTGTTGTTTCAGATTGTCACATTAAATTGTGGCTGTTTTTGCGGCATTCTCTAAGCAATGGGTGCAAGTGATACGCAGTCATTATGTCCTGATGCTTCCGCTCAGACCAATGCACAAAAATCGAATGCCCAACAAAACCAAATGTAGCATGGAAATTCATATCGTCAGAGCTACAAGACTGCATTAAGTACGCTTTTCTAAATGCAACAACAGCTATGTTTGAAGAAGTAACGCGTGAACAGGGTAGCTAAAGAAGTAGGGCCAGGTAAAAATAACATTGTTTAAGTCACAATGCGGACAAACAACATTTCCTTTGCTATTTACACCCTTGATATCCCACCGAATGTGTTTGATTTCGGTTTCCAAACCCAGGGGGATTTTTTGCTCTCAGAGAGGGCATTGGTTCGTCTTTAGAAAGGGGTGCGAATGACAACTTCATTACCTGAATAAGGGGCTTTCCAGTATCTGAGACCTCAAAGAATCTGTTTTGGTTTTTTTTGTAGACAGGCCTCACCGCAGTTAAATCTTTATCTTGTATTTTAAAATTTTACAAATTCTTGGCTGCTACTAAGATACCTGTCAGTTTGTTTATTGTCTTCAAGTATTAACTGTGAATAAATTAAGCAAAAAATTGAAACTTTTGTATAATTTATATGTTTGTTTGTCACAAAACCATGATTTGGTGGAATATAACTGCTCCATAAATTGTGAAACAAATCCAGTTGGGATGATCGAATTCCTGACTAAGGTCCTTGTGGGTCTGGTAAATCCTGGGTGAATGTTAACTTCCGACATGCGGGAAAAAAAGCGCCGTGTCTCGCAAAGGCTAAGTTAGGAGGCAGAGGACTACTACGAAGTCAGATTTGGCTACTGCGAGAGGTGGCATTGCTTGGTGACAACACTAATCCTTTCAGGTTTTCAGGTGGCTTGACTGGAGAGGAATTTGTGGCATTTTCCATATTATTGAATTAAACGTGCTTTTTTAACCTCGTACCAGCACGGTCTGATTGATAAAAGTCGCTTTTAGTGTCTAACTTTTAAGTTAACGTAAACCTTACTGCTGTTTGGTCTCCTCCAGTTATCAACAAAAATACATGGTAGTCTGAGAAATCTTGATTGTTTTTGCGGTATGTGTTTACATAGGTACAAATAAAACACTGCTAAATTGTTTCAAACCGTAAACCTGTCCGAATTCGCGAATGACTTTAAAACAAATGAAAACATTATATTTACTGCTTCCAGGAACGACATCTAGTTCTGCCAAAGGGGAAAATCTATTGATCCAATTTATGACTTTGTAACAATTTGTATACATTATTGTCTAACAGAGTAACAGAGTCGAGGCATTCAATCATGGGTATCCTGTTGCAAATGGCCTTAGCCTAATCAAGTATCTTCGCACAGTAACTAGGAATCTACAAGAAGTAAATGACCCCACATCGTCGTCTCCAAAGTAGTTTTCCTTGTGGTATAAAATGCAAAATGATAGTATTAAAAGATTATGCTGGATTATAAACAACATAATCGGCCAGGGATGCCTACATGTCTTTAGACTTAGAAATTTGGAGATTTTGCGGACAATTCGAGAATCGTGAGCATCCATTTTTTTGAACATGTGAGTGGGCTAATTGATACATGTTGATATGACTGGAAATCAATGTTTTTATCACGAAAATTTAAGTAATAGCGTATTGGCTTTTCGGAGTCCGCACTTTCTACTAGCTTTTGGAACCATGATGTCTTACAAATAGTCTTCAGCCTTTTGCAAAATGAAAAATTTGACACCTTTAAATTGGGGAAACGAAGTAATTGTTGCCCTGATAAATTTTGCTTCACCATTTAACGTAAAATGTCATTAAGAATTGTAGGGAAATGATCCTCAACATGGCAGCAAGTAACTTTATAGATCATCTGAACATGCGTGCTTACGATATAGTTGATAGTTTTCACTTTTCAAATTCATTTTAATTTCAGAATTCTATGAGGAAAAAGCCACAAGCTCACAACTTAGAAGTTACATCAATTTTTAGAAAGCTTTGACCCCTAATTTGATTTCTTAATTTAAAAAAAGCATTTGAACTAATCCTGAAATTTTTGGGAAACCGATCTTGTAGCGATTATGGTGGAAAAGGCGACAAGTCTGAGAGCAGAAATAGCTTCAGAAGGAAGATTTAATAGCTACGTTCTGTTAAAGTCGACGTTGGTAACATTTTTTCATGCACCTCTCTTAGTCTTCTGTGTTCCTTGCTTCTCAAACTCATGAGTAATTCTGCACAACCTGGTAAACTGTTCACACTTATCTTCGTTTTAAGCAATCGAGTAAATTTCACGGCTTTCTGCATGAAGTAATAGAAGCTACGTATAAAATTCCTGCAAATTAGTGAATTACTGACACGTGGTCCAAGGCATATAGATGCCAAAGTAGTGCAGGATTTCTTGATTTATACGGTTTAGGTGAACTAATGGGAGCACAAATGAATGAAT